CGAAATAAATAAACTTAATTTGACTCAACATCTGAAGTAGAAATAATCATTGATGAATCACATATCTCTAGACTGAAGTTTTGAACATAGTCTACAAGAGAACAATAAATTTTGAAGTAAGGTATGATTGAAGGTCAATACTTGTATTATGTATGATAACATGTCGACAAAATATGTGGAGAAAAAGATAATTACAATAATCTTATTTGAGTTTAACCCTAAAAATTATATGTTGACATATTACATGTCTCTAGAAAAAAATATCAAGGAAAAATTATATGAGAATAACAAGCTTTGAAAAAAAGAAAAATTAAAGGTCACTAGCACAATGGTGAAGCAACATGAAGAAAATCAGATTCACGTGATCATTTTTCAAATGACAAAAAAGTAAGAAGATGTTGAAGAATATAAAATGTGAGTTTACAAAAAACCAAAACTAATTATACACAAAAAAATATTTATATCATACTAACTCGAGTTCAAGAGAAGTTTATATTTTATCTATTAATGGAAAGATATTGCATGCTTCAAAGAAAGAACAAAAAGATATAACATTCAGCTGTTACATCAAAGGTTGACTCTTTCCATTGAGCTCTAAGGTATTTAGATGGTGAGTTGAGAAAGACTTAGAATAAGACATGATGTACTAAGAGCTTACTAGAATTCGTAAAAGATGTTGTCTCTAAGGAGATTGGTGTGTTTGAGTAAGGCATGTGCTACTGAGAGTCACACTCTACTTGTGACAGGTGTGATTTTTCGTGAAGACCAAACTAGATTGATTAGGTCACTGATATTATTAAATTAATTGTATTTGTAAAATAAAATAGTGAACTACAATATAAAGAATCATACAGGATTTAACATAGCCTAATGAAAGGTGAACTAATATAAAACTCTCATGTCCCTTATGGTGGCGAGTGAGAGAGAGAGAGAGAGACTAAAGTGAACCCACATAGAAAATGTGGTTAACTTAAATAAATTCATACATAAAACATAGAGATTATGTTAAAATATATGTGCACGCATACACTTGCAAATAGAATAGAAGAATAAAATGAATACATAGGAAATTAATTCATATTGAACCTAATATTATTGTCTTATGAAAGTTGTATTTGAAGTCAAGATACCAATTGATTCATATACAAGACTTGGATATCTCAAAAATGACATTATAGACACAAAAAGTACACTAAATTTTTAGTTATGACTTTCAAACTCGTTAATATATTAAAGCCATTAGTGTCCCTAACGAATCATATATTTTTGACCTTACTTGTATACAATAATGATGAATCAACACATGTGGAGCATTTAAACAAGTACTCATAATATTATCCGAATGCTAATTACATCTCAACACTAAGTATTACATATTCAAATAAGAATACATTGAATACCTTGAACATTAGATTTCTACATTTGAGTGTAAATGTATACCAAGAAAAAAAGAGGCCATGTTCAAATAGTCAACCTTTCTAACCTATAGAGAACTAAAAGATTTTTAGGTCTCACAAGATATTACTAGAGTTGTTGTAGATTATCAAGTAATCTTACAGTCATTTGTCTAAAAACTATAAAATAATTATTCTAGTGGAAAAGTACACAAAGAGGTGTTTGAAAGGCTCAAAATAATCATGATAATCCTAGCAATATTTTCCTTATCAAACTCTTACAACTTTTGAAATAGAGTCCACTATATCAAGATATAATATTAAGGTAGTAATTATGCAACTTTACAACCCATTGTCTATTTTAATCATATTTTATTATCAATGAATTAACTTTAGACAATACATTGAGTGTCTAATGTCAATTTTAGTATCTAAAAATAGTATTTCATTACCAAGATATAATATTAATATGAACTAATGACAATCTTATTGAGTATCTAAAAATAGTGACATTAAATGTTCGTAAAAAAAGGAAGTATTTTTTTAATTCATATAGATCAATATAATTTAATTTTTTTATTGAAACAAGACGTGTACAACCATCATATTCAAAATAACTACCAAAACTCATTTGCTACAACTTTAAGATTCAACACAAGATGGGCTTGGAGAAAGTTACATACAAGCTCTTGAAGATGTATGACAAAGGTGAAATTTAGGTAATAAGTAAAGTTGTACATAAATATTAGACATTTAGATGATGATGGCTAAAGTGTATGCAAACTCAAAACTGATTTAGATGAAATAGGATTTAGAACAAGATTAAATGAGTGACGTACATGTTCACTATAATAGTGATTGTTGGTTTACCATGGTATAATAATTCTCTTAAAATTTTAAGTATGATTTCAACAATACTCCAAGATTATCATGACAATGTTATGGGAGGCCATTTAGGATTCATGTGAACCTACATTCACAGCCCAAGACATTTATTCGAGTATAATTATAAAAAAACTAAAGAATATGTGACAAAGTGTCTAATATTAAAAAAAATAAGATTGAAACCCTCTTGACGACAAGACATTTAACTCTTTCCCATAAACAATCAAATTTGAAAAGACTTTTTCATGAACTTCATCAAAGGTCTGCCTTAGTCTGAAATCCATGACTCTATATTGAGTACAAGGGTATTTTATACCCTTTACTCATAATCAACTAAGAAAATCACAAAAATATGTGTTCAAGATAGTGTCATACTTCATGGAATTCCAAGATCCATGGTGACTAACATCAACTAGATATTTCTAAGCATATTTTGATTTGAATTGTTAAAACTACAAGAAATACCTCTAAGGCACATTACAACTTACCCTCAAATGAATGGATAAATTGAAGTAGTCAATAAATCCTTAGAGAACTGCCTCTACTTCTCATCTAACCTATCAAAGAAATGAAATGTCTACTATGGAAAGAATAATTATATAAGACTACCTTCTACCAGCACTACTCCAAACCCTTGGACTCAACTACAGTTCAAACCATAACACATTAAATTGTAAGAGCAAGACCTCAATTTCAACATATTAAAATATCAATTGACATGATCACAATCTAGAATGAAAACCCAAATAGATGTAAGAAAACAAGAGACATAAGATGAAGAAAGATAATTAGTTTATGTAAAATTAAGACCATATTAATATGCTCGCTAGCAAAAAAAGTGAATGAGAAACTCTCCCCACTACATTGGCTGCTACAAGGCCCTTGAAAAGGTTGAAAAGTTATCTTTTATTTAGATCCTCTTGCAACCACATCATTTCAACAAGTCTGTTATGTCTTATAGTAGAGATGAGCACTTGAATCATCTGATTACAGTCAGTCACTTCCACTAGCATTGGATAAGGAACTCAAATGGATTGTCAGGCCACTAAAAAGCTTAGAGTGCAGCCATCAACAAGTGACCCAAAGTGATGATTCAATAAAATAATCTGCCAATATTTGAGGCCTCCAAGAAGTCCACAATGGTAAAATCATAATTTTTCAATGACTTCCACCTTTAGAATAAGGTCTCACTCATAGAGGGGAGTAATGATGGGATTTACACACTCCAAAAGGAGTTAAGATAGATATGCCACTCATAGTCCTATTATGAGAAGAAAGGGGCTCAAAAGTAAATTACTCTAGAAGAAAGAAAAGACAAATATGTCATCCAAAGACAGGGAAAAAAGATCTCTTAAGTAAATTACAAAGGAAGGGGAGGAGAGTTACATGACATCATAATGGAAAAGGGAGGGGGATTTTCATAGTTAGTCACAACCAGACAAAGAGAGTCCTCTCAAAAAACTATTGTTAGGTTTGTAAGTTCATGTTGACAAAATCCTAATATATAAGTTCTAGTTTCGTTATATTCCCTCTATATTTGCCTTGCTATTACAAGATAGGTTCATGCCATATTTTTAAATACAAAATGTCAGTGTCTAATTACTACTATTAATATATACCATATAATTTATCATTCTACTATTATTTACTCGGTGTTTAATTTGCCATTTTATTTTGGTCTTGATAACCCTTTTATTGTTTTTAGAATTTACCAACCAAAAGGAGTTAAGCTTTCCTATTGTAGCTTTAGTGACCGAATAACTTGAGATTTTCTCAACTTGTTCGTTACATTTTTCTACATTTTTCTTATATATTTTATGAATGAGTCCGGGAAGTTTTCTTTCATTATTTTGCTGATGACTATGTCCCTGATGGGAAACATGGATAACCAAAGTTTGCGTTACAGGTAATGATAAAAAACTAAGAAAAGTTCATCAAGTCTTCAACAACTAATCCGTAAGGTAAATAAGAGATAGGATTATTCAAGGCGTCTTCTCGGGGAAGGCAATAATGTATTCTTATCTTAAACAGATAATGTCTAGGAGACCACCATCAGCTTCCAAAATGGTAAATAATAATCAAAATCGGGAGCTCATGCACGTGACTCCATGGTCTTGACCTGAGATCAAAACTCTGCTCAAGAATCAGGAGCTGCTTGCTTTCTATCCCCTCCATCGAAGAAGAGGTGGGCTGCTATGGAGGAAGAGAATGTAAGCTTCGACCTACCTATCCTTTATCATCTGATAAGCTGGACAAGCATAATTTCAACGTATGACAACTTCGAAGATTCTTTCACCTTTTATCTATTTTAGTAATTTATTAATTTACGGTGTGGTGTAACTCCCGTCTCAACAGCTACCTGGTGCAGTTTGACGTCGCCGACGTTTTTATACTTGTCAATTATAGAAAAAAAACCTAAAGAAAGAATGATTGAACATCAGAGAATGGCCAGCGCTAAATAGTCGATCGTTGAATAAATGAGCATCCCTCTCTACACTCCTCCACGACGGTCACCGCTTCCTCTGAATGAAAGGGTATGTATTCTTCTGTGAGTCGCGCATGGCGTCACGCATGACCTCATGCGTGCCGGCTGGCAGCCGCGACTTTAATATATTATCCCATATATATCTAAGTAAGCTACAAAAAAGCCCGACGTAGGGCCCAGGGATCCTGCATCAAGCCCAGGGCTGAGGGATCCAGTACCCGAAAAGCGACGCCCTGCTAACGCTTTGCCGTTCCCCGCTGCACGGGATCGTTCTGCGCCACCAGTACCGTCGGGTAGGAGGGCGACTGAAGCTGTCGCGTAGGGCCCAGGGATCCGGCATCCCCCACAGATCTGGCCTTCCGCGTCCGGATGTGGAGGATGCAAGTCCCGACGAGGAACGTCCTCTCGTAGCACTGAGCTCCCATGCAAACCCCTGTCTGTTCTCGCTGGACTCGCCTCTCCGGTACACGAACGCGGCGAAGAAGCCGTAGAGGAGCGACCCTATGGGGCTGTTGGATACGACGATGTTGTGGTTGATGGCGAAGAACTCGGACCCGAAGAGCTCCGAGGTTGCAGAGACGGAGGTGATGGCCCCCGTGCAGGTCCCTATCACCACGCTCCCGGCGTATAGGCACGCGTTCCCGTGATTGAGAAGTAGGAAGAACCCTCCGGCCATGGGCGCCGTCAGGCCAGCCATGAGAGCTGGCCTCGGCACCTCGTACATATTCCTGGAAAGGGAGGGCGTCGGAAGAAGATTGGGTTAGAGCGAAGGGTTAGAGGAGGACAAGGCGTCATCGTATGGTGAAGGCTTTACCTTAAGTCAACGAAGTCCGCGAGGGAGACCGTGTAGCGGCCGAAGAACCCGAAGGCGAAGGCCAGGGAGACCACACCAGATGTCTTGGAGAGCCCGCGGAACTCCACGATCTGCCCGAGGTTCCTCAGGTAGACCAGCCCCACCGTCTGCTCAAGCATGTAGCCGACGAAGTACAGCCAGAACTCCGGCATCCTCACCATGTCGCTTGCCGCCACCTTCCGCTCCTCGGTGGCCTCCTCCAATCCTCCAGGCGCCGCCAACCCCTCCTCCATCTTAACAGCCTCCGCCGGCGCAGTGGCTTCCGCCGTCTGGCTATCAACACTGGCCCCCCCACTTCGGTGACGTTTCGCTCCATAAGCTCCCACACTTTGGCGGCCGCCGGCAAGGCCAGCAACGGCGCCAGAGGGCACCCGAAGCTCCACATGGTCCACGTCGACGTAGACCACAAGCTGCTAAAAATAGCACACGCCCCATTCGCCATGGCTATGGCGAAAACCAGGACAAACCCTCCGCCAGACCGTGGCTCGTCTTCCGACAAGACGACCCTTGCAATGGGCAGGGCCAACAAGGTGATCGCCACTGGTACCAACGCATTGAGGAGGAGGTACGCCCTCGCCTTCTGGTGGGGGAGCGGCTGGAAAAAGGCGTAGGCCAGGACTTTGTACGCCACTGGGCTTAGTCCGAAATAGCTCGTGGAGAGCCCCAGGCGACCCTGGCCTCTGATCCGAAGTTCCTCAGGCACACTTCGAAGCAGACGGTGTTGATCCAGAAGGCGGCGTTCCCCCCAGTGACATTCAGCAGGAACACCTGCCAGTACGACGCGGAGGCGAGGCCCTCGCCAACGAGGAGGAACTGCACCCTGTAACCCACCAGCCCTAGAACCGCGCCGATGAGGAGCACCGCCCAAAGAGGTAGGTGGACCACGGCCACGCCGGAGAGCCAGGCGAGAAGCTTTCCGGCCTCGGAAGCGAAGGCGAGGGCGTTGAGCTGCACCTGGGAGATGGAGAGGACCTGCTTGAGGTTGGAGGAGTAGTCGGGGAAGTTGGAGCTTGCCCCGTTGGCCAGGTGTAGCAAGATGAGCCCCACCAAGCTGAGCCACCGCAGCGGAGTCGGGAAGGTCGCCATACTGAGGCGATGATCCTCTGTGCAGTTAGCGTCCAAACGTGGGGGATCTACTTCACACAGGAGCGACAGAAGTCATTTAACTCCGAACAGAATTCCCGCAGCATTCTCTGCCACATGGCCGGCCAGATAACTTAAAAAGAGGCGGGAGGACACAAGATAAACAACCCCAGATATGCAAGGAAAGAGCCACTTCCGAGCGTGGGACCGATACTTGAGTGCAGAAGGGAGGCAGGGATCTTCGAGAAGCATACCTCGGGAGGAACTCAGATCGCAGCAGACACGACGACGGAGAAGAATGAAACATGAACAAGGACTACAAGGACTACAAGGAATAGGAAGAAACAGCTTCCTCTTTCCCTCCGAGACATCAAACTGAATCCACTCAACTCTCCCTCATACCCACGCACCGGCAGAAGACAACAATCCATCCAGCTACAAAGCTCTCTCAAACAGCAGGCTTAAAGGTTGATGAACCTGATGACGACCCTTTGACTGCCACTGGATTTTAACTACCACTTGAATAATACAAGATTTAATTATAAAATAATAAAAATAATAATAATCGGGATAAAAAAACGTGGAGGGGAGCATCTCACCTACACAAGACAAAAAGGGACGTAATGAGGGAGGTGAGTTGGTTGGGTCGGGCCCACTCGACTCCCCCCAGCTCACGACGCCGTCGGTGGCAATCATCACGTGCAACCGAGAAGTGTTATCCCCCTCCACGGCGCTGGATGAGGCAAGAAAGATAATAGTAATGAGACAACGACACGTTGTCTTTGTTGGGCCCCACGGGCCAGGGTGGACTCTCGACAGAGGGGGCCCAAGCTAATACATTCCAAACAAGTGAAATTGGGAAGAGCTCGTCCACAATTCAAACGTGTTAATGTAGAGGTGGAACAAATATACACAATTTATGTATTTATCCAAAAATAGTCAATTAGTTTCATGTCTAATTAAAACCTTTGTATTATTAAAGTATATTTTTTTTCCTAATTTGGGTTTTACTCCAAGGTAATTCAAGCGCCAATAATTATTTAGCCATCTCCTAGAAATACTAATGGTACAAGGAAATAAATACTCTCAAATTATTGTACGATCATTCCTTTCTAATGCCAGTGATAATTGAAATTGTGATAATGTTGTCATTTTTCTCTACCATATGGTATTAATTGCAATTAAGGTGCTTTGAACATGTGTACTAGTGATGGAACAATAACCATTCAATTTGTTGTAACTAAGTAGTGATAATGATGAAATTGATACTTTGATCACTTAAATTATGTTTTATGAAGACATGAGATCAACTCTCACAAAAATACAAATATGAATACAAATTTGAGAGAATTAAAATGGAGCCTGTTAGAACCTTTCAATGAGATAGTGCTCTTTCAAATCTCTCAAAATGGAATCTGTTCCAAACATATATACCATGGTTCCTTACCTCGACAAGGTGCAAAGATCTAATTTCACCCTTTTAGATGCTTTTTCAGACTCATTTCCAATACTAAATAGTAGTCAAATTTGTATCCAATTCCTTGTGTCCTGTCAAATAAAATAATAGAAAGACTAGTAATACCTACTAGAAGCATTTCTATTTTTTAGTTATCCTTTGCCTCGTATTCTCCTCCTTTGTATTGTCTTTGTTTACCTAGTATCCATTACTAGTACTATGAATGGTCTATAATTTATACGTATAAAGTCTATATATTTCTCAAAAAGAGTATAAATAAAACAGACAAAAAAAAGACTTCACAAATCTTTTCGGCTTTTCCTTTTTTTTATCAACTTAGTATTAGAAAAGGGAGATGTGGAGATATGAAGGGTTCTAGAGGAAACCTACAACTAGTAGAGGACTAGTTTGAGAGCAAGCCCAACTCTCCCAAAAAGACTTTTTCCAAAAGTGCCCCATAGTAAGGACCCTTAGGGTCTCTTATACTCTCCCCTTTAATGGGCCCATGGTCTAATGGCCCACAACCATCCTATCCCTTGACCTTCCCTTTTTGGGCATAAGTAACTCGAATAGTAGGCTTTGCATTGAGCCCAATAAATCTAGATTTAATTAAGTCATTCATGGGGGATGTTTCTAAACTTGGATTGGGTTTGGTCTCTATCAAAGATGTAGTACAATTGGGTTGGACACGGCATGACCCAAACCCAAGCCCACTAAACCCCCTAAGTAGGTCACACTATGGCATGCAAAAATATCTTTGGCTCCTATGGCCTCTGGTTGAGTTACTAAAGGGTGAGTATAAGATAGATACACTACCTAAGGCCCAATAAAGAAAATGGCTCTTAAGTAAATTACTTGAGGAATAAAAGATAAATATGTCACCCAAATACCTTGGAAAGAAAAGGCTCCTAAAGAAATTTCACAAGAAGGGGGAGAAGGGTTTTAAGAGATTGTAAATAAGAAAGGATGGGAGGATTTTTCTGGTAAGCCATAGGGAAAGAGATAGTCATCTCGAAAGACTATCATTCAGATGGTAAGTTTGTGTTATAGAGTTCTTCTTAGAATCATGACCTATCACTTCTTCACATTTCTTCATATTATTTCTATTTGTCTAACGACTCTTGGATTTGTTCTTATGAAGTGATGTCAAAGCAAGGTTTGATGGCACCCAAAACCAAAGAATGAAGAATCAAGAATTTTGAAAAAAGAGGTGGAAGACATCAAAGATGATTTGAACAATTGCTAGAGATGGAAATAAAATATAGACAACATGTCTCATAGCTTAGCTGAATGCAAGCAAATGATAGAGGAGATTTGATACTTAATCTACTCTGCAAGAAAAATCAAGACAAAGCAAAAGCATCACTTGGTATACAAAGAATTGAGCATTTGGCTACAAGAGGTGGTGTAAGAAGAGGAAGAACAAGCATAGAATTTGGAATGGGACATAACTATTGTACTAAGTTTTGAAGGGTAGAAGATGATTGGAGGTGACCTTATTTAGTAGAGATAATCCAAATTGATAGATTTTCCTTCCAAAATTATGTTTTTTGAATTGTATGACTAGTTGAAACACAAAGAGGGAGGGTGAATTGAAATTTTTATAAATTTTATCAAGTTTTATTTTTAGGTTGATTTCTCACAAAGGCTTATCTATAGGTCAACACAAGTGATCTATACATCAATAGATTTTGTGTGTGTGTGTGTCAATACATGCACGAAAAGCTGTTCATATCAGTACCACCTTACAATACTCTCTTTCTAAAATTACAAAACTTGTATACTAGTTCACCCCTCACTCATTTACTTCCCATCTTTTGGAGTAAGTTATACTTAATCTTATGTCCTAAAAAATATACACTGATTTTAATGACACATACTTTAATTAGGTTGATTTCTCATATCAATTGATCTATATGTCGATACAAGTAGTCTTTATATCAATAAATGAGATGTGTGTGTTGACACATTCAAAAAAATATTCATAGGAGTAAGACCTCTCAATAATTTCTCATAAAAGACAAATTTTGACATTGATTTTAACAAGATTACCAACCTAAATCCTTTAAGTTCATCTCTATTGAGACACGAGCCCTTCTTCAATCAAATATAGTTATAAACACCTTGTACTTTCACAAAATTCACTCTCTAGTAACAAGTTAGTAATCTCATGGCATGATGCACTAATTACAATTTAGTCATCAGTGATATTAGTATGAAGATCCTGATGGAAGGAGCTAAATCTCTAAGTATTTGTCCTTGTTTTAGTCAGGAACTCTTTTTTCATATAAAGTCCTTTGTGTGATACCATTTTCTCATTGTTTTTAGATCTCTAATGTTCAAGGTGTCCACACAAACTATTGTTATCTCTGAAGTATGCAGCTCTCACGTTTTGATCTTCCAAATTTAGATTCTCACTACTTTATCGTCAGATGAATTAAATTTGAATCATAATTCTTAATTTGATGAGAAATAACATGTTCAATGTGGGCTCCAAATAATTTTATTTTATTTGTGCCCACATACTTGTCTAATGTATCACTTCAACATAAAACTTTGTAAAAAAACAATCTTCAATCTACTCCCTATGTGCTTGTTGATTTGAAACTCGTAATAGTGTGGAGAACCTATATAATATCATGGAACACTACATCACAATGATTAGATCATCATAAATATAACATGGATGAAATATTATATTTCTGCTAATGTGATGGCATAAATAATGTGTTGGCACATTTAATTAAACTTTTATTTGTAGATATTCCTATTTTTTTCAAAAATTATTAATATAGAAAAATTACTTAATTTCAAGGCTAAAACCCTTAAAATTAATCATTAGAGATGAAATCATAATAATTAGATAAAGATTTTAATTTTTATTATTGAATATATTTATGTATTTAGATATATTAATTTAGCATTGAAATCAACGTCCATATGAGATTTTTGGCATAGAAATTAGCATATAACATTTTCAATAACTTTTTACTAAAATGATTATCAAAAATATTTTTGGACAAGATGGATAAATGGTAGAATTCCAATATGATTTTAAGCTCATGTAAGTATCTATTAGAAGACCATTTGAAGATATGTATGTTGGGACTAAATGAATAAAATATTTTACGATGAAAATGTTTTAAAATATATAATTGAACGATAAACTCATACTATGAGAAAAATAGAGAATATTATAGTTAAAATCAGACGAAATTTGTGGGATACGATCATCATTAGATGTGAGAGAAATTAAATAAATTAGCTGCCTTTAAAACTGACACATATATAGGTTTGTGAAATTCCATTGGAATGGAATTTTAAATAAGAATACAATGAAGAAACCAACCATTCAGATACAAATAATTCAATTGTTTATGGGTTATACAAGATTACTGAAATTATATTTTCATTCAAAGGTAAAATTGTTTAAACTTCCAAAATTCATCTAAAGATGAATTCAATACAAAAAAAAATACAAACTATCCAAAGGGCAATGATTTTTTCAAATTTTACAAAGGTTTTATGTATTTTTCTAGATGTGCACAACACCAATTGAGGTCCACTCAACTATTTGTTGAGCTGACCATTAGACTTGATAAGTTCAAATAATAAAAGTGAACATCTCACCCAAATTAGGATAAGATGGTAAAATTTGGGGCAAGAAGAATAATCTTAAAAAGAAATATAAAAGACTCAAGTTGATAGTGATCCTCACCTCTTTGTTCATCCTCTAACTTAGCTTTTACAATCATCTTCATTCATAAGTGAGAGCTACACTAAGAAAGCTTCACCACTCACATATATGTATGCATACAAGTATGAATCTTTACTCACATAGTAGAATTGAATAGTTGTGATGTATGGGAGAATTAATCACAATAAGTCAAATGTAATCAGAATTGATGATTAATAACTTAGAAAGTAGATGTAGTTTTTAGCAAGTCAAACCACTATAAAATCTTAGCTTGACTATTTATCTTCTTTCTTCCTTTATTAAGCATAAGTAAATTATATTTAAATTTAACTAAAGAAGAAAAAATTATGAAGAATAAGTATGTTCATAGAAAAACCACAACAATAATATTAATGAACAGATTCAATCCCCATTTCTCTATTCACTAGTAAATCATCTAGGGACCAGCATAAATCAATGATAGAATTCTAATGTAATTTTGAGCTGATGCTAGCATCTTTGGAAAAACTATCAAAAAAAGTATTGGAGACAACTTTAATCAAAAGACTGAAGCAAGACATCTTTGAAATCAACTTTAAAGACTACACAGCTAGTAGTTGAGAAAAATGACACCTTGAAATTAACTCAGAAATGTAGTGGGAAAAAACCATCCATAACCATGTCTTATAAGGGGAGCATTACATACTTGGGTTGTGGAAATACTAAGAATGTTGATCGCATTCCAAGCAAAGATAAACAAATGAGAAAAATCTAAAGAACTTCTCACATGTAAGGATGCATATTGAAGAGTATGTGTATCAACCCTTGTTGTGAACAACTTGTTGATGTCTAGTTTTGAAGATTATAAGTTTTTTTATTAAAAAGTCACTTTATAATACTTTACATCAATAAAATTTGAAAAATATTTTTGATTCATAAGTCTAACTTATTTGAATTAAATAGTTGATACATTAAATAGACTACTTATAATGAATTCCTTGTCTAATCATTAAAATTTCAGTTAGAATGTTTTAATAGAAAATTTTCAATCTTAAGGTTAATTTAGTTTTCTATTTTACAATTATTTGAGAATAAATAATTACTAATTCAACAAAGATCTACAAATAAGAAGTTAAATATATGTCATTTAAAATCCTATGACATGTATCGACACACGTTACACATGATCAATGTGTCAACACATTCATGAAATTAGAATATTATATATATATAGATTATGTGTATAATTATCTAACTATTGTATTGTGGTATTTATCTATTTTATGTTATTATTATATGATATTAGACATGTTCTCTAAAATATTAAAAATATAAATAAATAAGAAAGTAAAGAATTGATTGAATATTTATTTTTTTAAAATTTTATGTCAACAATGAAATATCAAATAAGTATAATGAAAAAAAATGAAGTTAAATTATATGATATGGAACCAACATAGATGCTAAGGTGTCCTCCATCAACATAGAAAGATTTAGTTCCAATGAATTCAAAAGACAATACGAATAGGGAAAATCGAAGAGCAGAAAGTCAACATATAAAAGTCACATATTATAGAAAATGATAAGACTTTAAGAAGTAAACTTAAAATTTTCATAGAAAAGTTGAGAAACTAATATAAGATCAAAGTCAACTTATAAGAGATTATTTCTACATAAAAAAGTAACTAATATATTTAGAGATTCAATACTTTATATTGAAATTTTTACATTATATACTTCAATGATGACTCCAACATCTTCTTTATCAACTTAATATAGCAATCAAACAACTATATAACTAGAATCAATACTCTCTGGCAAAATCTAATATAATAAAGTTTTGATAAAAGAGTGAATTTGGCAAAGGCACACACTGTGTTTAGCCTTATCTCACTAGAAAGGGGCTAGTGTGTTGAAATGCCTAACAAAATTAAGAGCTTTGGGACATTAAATCAATTAAAATCAGTACATTCCTAAGGAGAATAATCAAAACTAAATAATAAGTTCATTTGGGAGTAAGTAATTGAGTGAAGGAAGAACCAATATAAAAGTTGTGTTTATGATAAGAAACTACTATAAACAACCTTTTATGTGTGTTGGTATAAAGATTACTTATATTGACACAAATCAATATACGTAAGAAATAAACTTAGAACTAAAGAATCATCCAAAAAAATTATAAAAACCTCAGCTCACTTTCTCTCCCTCACCCCTTGTCTTGGTATTTCATTTCATAATACAAGTCCAACATAACTCCCACAATAGACATAAAAATCATCAAACTAAGGTCTAATTTGACAAAAGCAGAAATCCAAACAAAGAGAGCAAAATGAGTATGTTCTTTTCTATGATGATAAATATAGTTCATGCCACATTTATAAAAGAGAGCTACAAATTATTTTAGTACAAGACGATAACCAAAATGCACTTATCAATTTAGATAAGGTGAACCTTAATGTTTGAAATAAAGTCAAAGAGAGATGAATAAAGGTAAGAATACGATAAAGTATTATGGTATCAATCAAATTGGTGTTGGGGTTAACAAAACTCATTTATATGAAGCTAACAAAGAATGAAAAAATCAAAATGTGACAATCATAATAGATTATGAGACATCATAATTTAATTACAACTAAATAAGCAAACCAATTTTAATGATCATTAGTGGCAATAAGAAATTATATAATGATGATGGGTAATGATTTGGCAAATAGAGGATTTATAATAGAGTAATTATGGAAATCCAAGGATTGATAATAATATAAAACTAATTATGTCTTCAATTGAGTAGTGTCAATGTGATCATTAGAATATAATGATTAAGAAAGTTGGGGACAACAAAGGCAAACTAAAGAAACTTAATTGAGTTTCATTATGAGCAACACAAATAAAGTGAGTGACTTCCAAGCTAACATGTAATAGTATCGACATATTGAAACAAATTGTTGAGATAAGAAAAAGGAACTAGTAAATATTATTAGAGAAAATGATCAGAATAATTTATTCCTTACTTTTGCATCTTCAAATACAAAAGAGTGTCATTGCACCTCACTATATAATGTCTCTCTAATGCATAACCATGTTAGTGACTGATATCTCGTACTGACATCTATTATATAATCTAGATTTATATTATTTCTTCATCAACGTTTCATTCGTCTTTTTATTTTCATGTTAATGTCTCTTTTCTTAATTTAGGAATTTACCAAGGAAAATGACCTAATCTTTCTTGTTGTATTTTTAGTGACTGAAAAAATATGGGATTTTCTCCACTTGTTGCTCATATTTTTCTACAGATTTCTTATATATTATATGAACGAGTCCAAGAATTTTTTTTCCATTATTTTGCAGATGACTTTGGCAAGATATTCTGCCGATCACAGTCCCTGATGGGAAACGTGGATTAACCAAAGTTTGCATCAAAAATAATCAATAAAAACTAAGAAAAGTTCATCAAGTCTTCAACAACTAACCCGCAAGATAAATAATAGATAGGATTATTCAAGGCGTCTTCTTGGGGAAGGCAATAATTTATTCTTATATTTAACAAATGGATCCATTGCAAAGAGATCACCATCAGCTTCCAAAGTGGTAAATAATAATCAAATTCGGGAGCTCATGCTTGTGACTCTTTTTCCATTCTGGGCATGTTTCAGACTCCATGGTCCTGACCTGGGATCAAGAATCTGCTCAAGAATCAGGAGCTGCTTGCTCTCTATACCCTCCATCGAAGAAGAGGTGGGCTGCTATGGAGGAGGAGAATGTCAGCTTCGACCTACCTATCCTTTATCATCTGATAAGCTGAAATAGCATAAGTTCCACATCTGACAACTTTGAAGATTCTTTCACCTTTTATCTGTTTTAGTAATTTATTAATTCACAGTGTGGTGTAACTGCCGTCTCAACAGCTACCTCCCCATTTGGTACCATTTTGGCAGGCAAAGCATTTACATGTTGAGGAAGAACTAGTGCAATCTGAGGTTGTTGTATTTTTTTTTAATACTGGTCGATCATAAAAAAGAAACTTGAGAAAGAATATGATTAAACATCAGAAAATATTGCAAGAAAAGCCCTAAATAGGTGATAAGTTCAAAGATTAAGGTCAAAAAATAAAGAAAAAAAAAATCTAGCATTCAGAAATTCAAAAACTTTCAATTCCTTGGCTATTCGTTGTCTAAAAACTTCATGTTTAACAAGAGTCCCTGTTCTGCAGGAAAAAAATGGTAACCAGAGTTTAAAATATAACAGAATTTACGGATATTAGCAGGTAAATAATTATGAATGGAGAGTAATGAAATCAACCTTTAGCGAATATATTGTGACACAGTGAAATGGAGAGATTGGGAGATATGATTCGTTCGAGCACGTATATGGCATAGAGGAATCGCCAATTTCTTTGTGCAGAATGAACACAAGGGCAACATATATAGTAGAGGAGAAGCAAGCTTTTCACAGTGGAATATCTACATAGAATCAGTGATAATGGACCCTGAAGGAAGAACAATGGCGTGATCTGTACAAGAGCAACAATGACCTGATGAGCATAATCAGTCACCCAAAATTTCCCATGTTCAGCTCCGATGGACCAGCAGTTTAGACTCATAGAGAGGTCTTTATCACTGAGATTCCTAAAAAATAGAAGTAGACGTTGCCTCATGAGCATCATTCAGTCACCTTGGAACTCCAATCTGAGGCTCCAATGCGTGCCCAAACCAAGTCTGCACATTCATGGGGATCTTGAAAGGGCAATGCCGCGGCCACCACCACTGCATCCTCCTCAGGTCGCACATCAGAGGAAGATAGGACGACGTGTTGCAGAAACAGACCAAGCCCCTTCGATCGATTATGTAGAAATGGTTCATCCGATGACCACGAAATTCCTGAAGCAGCTCCTCAGGCATGGATCCGAACACCTTCCAACTCTTTTCCCCCACATTGAGCTCCCATATAACAATCTTACTTATATCGCCAGCCTCTTCCACCCCCGCTGTCAAGAAAAGGGAACCCCCATGGACCAAGATATGGGAACAAACGATGCGAGAAGATGGCATCGCCACATCAACGACGGTCCAGTCTCCAGATTGTGGATCGAATGCCAGGAGATGATCAGGCGCGCGGCTTAAGCTGTACAGAATTCCGTCGAGGTAAGCGGAATTACCTAGAACAGCAAATTGCCCCCAGAACTGGCCCTTGAAGCTCCATGCGCCGATCGTCGATTTGAACACCTGGGAGAAGACACGATCTATCGTCGCCACAGCAACGATCTGGTACTCCGAGGCGCCCTCATCTATGAGCCCTAAGGCGTAGCTCTGTCCATGCGACGAGATCATGGGGGCGATCTCCCAGGCCCTCCCCGAGAAGAGATCACAGACCAACAGGGATGTCTCGTCCTCCTCCGCGAGGACCAGTGCCCCTCCAGAGGCGTGAACGCGACGGAGGCCACAGCTGAAGCCGCCGCGGGGGAACCGAGAAAGAGGGAGCGGCACCCAGCGGTCGAGCGACGGTTGGTAGGCCGCAGCGAAAGGAGCAGAGCTCTCCAGATCGGCGAAGAGGAGGAAGAACACGTCGTCGATCTGGTCGCCGCGGGCCGGCGTGGCGGCAATGTAGAACGAGGAGAAGGTCTCCGAACGAATGGCGCGGTTCCATCCTCGGCATACGCTTCTCGACACGACGAGCGAGGACACGGGAAGGAGCGAGAAGATCTTCTCCCAGATGTGCTCGGGGAGCCGATCCACCGCCGCCGCCGCTCCGGCGACCGGCGGAGGAGCCGGAGCGATCTCCATCTCCAAAATCGCCACTGGTTACTCTCTGAAAGAGAAGACGGCAGGCGGCGAAGACACATTCTCCTCCGCAGGGTAGTGAGCCCCGGGCCGGGCTAATTGTTTACAGTCGTCGGGCCTATGGCCATATGGCCCGGCCCATATTGATCGTCTAACTGGGATCTGCGAGGCATAGAGTAGCCTATAGCCTGATGCCACGTGGGATGGCATTGTGCTCTCCTACAGTTTATTACCCCTTCGTCTTTGATGCTACTGCTGCTGATCCGGAGCAAGGTATCCGGCGAGACGACCGCGGGAACTCAACGGAGATGGCTCCCGGCTTACGCGGGGGATCAGGCGCTCATCGCAGCCCCGGTGGATCGTCGGCGGTGCCACCATTGTCCACGGCGGAGATTAGCTTCCTTGACAAGTTCTATTTCGGCTCGGCCGGTGGTAATATTCTCTGCCTCGTTCTACAGTTTCTTGCGGTTTCTTCTTCGGTTAGGAAGTCGTCTACCTTGATCTGGATCTATCTCTTTCTCGACTCAACTTATTTTCCTGGTGCGCATCGATCCACCTCCTATGGTGTGTTGATTATTGATTTTAAATAAATGACAAAGATAGCGGTAAAATTATATTATATGATTTCCAGTGCATGACGAGACTGAAATAGCTTGGTGAATATCATATAATCTCCCTTCTTTGATGATCTCACTGTCGATGTCGATCAGAGAGCGGCGGAAAAGAAAGTTTCATGAGAATTGTGGAATGAAATACGTGCGGCATAAGAGCTTGGGCCTCTGATCTTATAGCATGATCGAACACTGCGTGAGTTTATATATGAAATATTTAAATTGGACAGAAATGGAAACGATCGATGTTCACATTGTGGCAATTACAAGAACATTTCTCCTTCCGGAAACTTATACACACAAAACACTGTACGATTTCTATTTTTTTCTTATACACAGAAGACTCCTCTGCCTTTGATTATTTTCCTTGTACAGTTTGGGCGGAGTACCGGAGAATGCTCATATAAACATCACGGGAGGAAGAGCCGGCGGCAGAGTTTCCCATGTCCGAGCTCTTGAGACGAGCTCTTCCATATGAATTCGATTCACAGAGGTAATCGTTTTCCTGAACCTGGAGGAGAAAAAAAACCAAATTTTCAGATGAATGATGCTATCCCGCGTGATTGAATTCGAATCAATTTTCTCAGAGAGAGAAATCATCCTTACAGGAAAAGATTCAAGACGCCGGTCGAAGGTGGCGATTCACAGGTGAGACCTCGCCAGAAGGCTCCAGAAACTGGGAATCCCGTGGCGGGGGCTGCGCATATTCTCATGAATCTGCTGGAACTGGGCGAGTAGAGACGTGAACCTCCTCAATGGCGCGACGATGAGCGTGAAAGGGATGATCCAGAGGGCGAAATCCAGCAGCAGCATCACCTCTTCTTCTCCTCCCTCCGGCTCCAATGTCTCCCTCTCCCTGCGTAAGAATTCAACCCTGCTTCTGCTTTCTCTATCTAGACACAAATATACGGCTCCCCGACGCCTCCTGATTCCTTTTGATTATTGGAGGAAGTCAATCAATCTTCCGGAATGAGGCCGTCTCTTCTGGATCATCCAAGGACGACAGCACACATGGCAGGATCCTGGCGCTGGGCCAACATGTGCTCCACACAACTGGGGCCTTCGCGAGGAGATGCTTTCCCCTTGCGGATGGTCTTCCCTTTTTGCTGCTGAAACTCCGGTTGGAACTACAGATTAATTTCCTCTTCTGTCCTTGTCGGGGAAGTTGACTCGCGGCTGTCGGGACTCCCTGGTGTTGCTTCCTCTTCTTATTTATTCTGAGGGAGAGCCTTCCTGTCCGACGGCGACCCCCCCCCCGCCCCTAATAAATACTCTCTCTCTCTCTCTCTTTCTCACTCGCTCTCTCTCAGAGCCATATCGACGGGAGCCTTGTATGATGTACTACGGGTCTATTTTACATAGTTTGGTGTGCACTGAATACGCTTTTGGTATCTTATCTCCATGGGGCCGGGGACCAGCATGGGATTCGCGCAGTTGGTCAACGCACCACGTGGCACTCACCGAACGCAATCATCTTCTTTTTGGGTCTTGGGCCTTCAAATGAAGCCCAAGAAAAATGATTAGGCCCTTAAAATTAAGCCCAAAAACAGGAATAGATCTCTCTCTCTCTCTCTCTCTCTCTCTCTCTCTCTCGCTGGGCCATATCGATTGGGAGCCTTGTATGATGCATACGAGGTTTGTTTGGTGTGCATTGGAAATGCTTTGGCGTCTACCTCCATAGAAGGGACGGGACCAGTATGGACCCCACGCAGTTGGTCAGCGCGACACGTGGCAGTAATTACTGTCCAGAACGCAATTGGCTACCCTCTGGAACGTGTCTGCAACTTCCACCCCGGGAATATCAAAATGTTCTTCTTGCTGGTCTTGGGCCTTGAAATTGAACCCAGAAACATAATTTAGACCCATCTTATTCGATAGTTGCCCCCCCCCTCTCTCTCCCTCTCTCCCTCTCTCCCTCTCTCCCTCCCTCTCTCTCCCCCTCTCGCTCTCTCTCTCCCTCTCTCCCTCTCTCCCTCTCTCTCTCTCTCCCTCTCTCCCTCTCTCTCCCTCTCTCTCTCTCTCCCTCTCCTTCTGTCTCTATAAAAAAGAATTGGAATAGACTTCATGCACTATCTGATCCTTACAATCACAATCTGATGGCTGGCACATTTACAATATCAAAAATATTTTATTTTAAATAAAAGCTTAAAATATTTAGGTTTCCGAGAGTCATCTAGGCCGAATAATCTTAGGTTTTTTAATATGAATTAGTTTTTCCACGTAAGATATGGTGAAACGCTCGTAGCCTCCTCTTGCTAGCTCAATTGATGATATATAAAACACGATAACTCAATTGTTATTAAAATTCTAATACATCTTTAGGCATTCAAGTTATCTTATTTTCACACTAATCATGCTGAGCTAATTCTTACAGAGGTTCAGAATTAAATACATATTTTTCATAAATTTACCAAAATAATTTAAATAAATTCGAACATAAAAGTTATATATTTCATGAAATTTTAAATTTTAAATTTAGTTGCTCTAATAGTCTGCTAAATGCCATACGGTCATTAGACAATTATTTGGAATTAATCAAAACAAAAATCAGATACCAACTAGATATTATTTGAATGATAGTAATTTCCTTCATCAGTTGATTTTTTTTTCTCGTTTTTTTCTTAAGACGATATAATAATTTTAAATTCATGATTTTTTTTAAATAGTAATTGTAGGAAATCGATTTAATTTATTATAAGAGTTTATTAGCAAAATCTTAAAAGCTCTTACCAGTCCTTGAGGGAAGTAGTCGTCTGTCTCTGGGTTCGTTGACGCTCCGTAGCTCCGCCGCCGGAAGCTCTGCCGCCGCCGCGAACCCCTGTGCCTGTCTCTCCCTGCAACGACGAGTGGGGGAGGGGGGGTGGAAGGTGGGGGAGGGGACTTGATTCGGAATCGGTGGACTGGAACCCCTAATCCTGGTAAATTTCGTTTGGGATGATGCTACGGCCCCGCGGCCGTCGCTGCCGTGAGATTTGCTGGAGACGCGGAAGCTGCGGGAGGAGGAAGATCGGGCGGGGATCGCTGATATGACATGGCATCCAGCTCTTCCCAGCGCCGCTGCGTTTTCGGTCAGTATCCTCGATTCTTCGCGAACGTCATTTCGGGAGTGGGAGAGTCGGTTTCCTTGTATTTGCTTCCTTCCAGTCGAGGGATTTCTCCTATGGCGATGACTGACGTGGTTGGTGTTGTTGGGCAGTCGGGAATATTCCGTACGACGCCACCGAGGAGCAGCTTATGCAAATCTGCGAGGAGGTTGGCCCAGTCGTCTCGTTCAGGTAAGACAGTCTTAAAAAAACCCTAGGGATTTTCCACCTCCGATGCCTGCTCTTATTGTTTGATATTTCTCAGCTTCAAGTTTTCGTGGGGGGTGTGCTTCTATAGTGTATCAGGAGTGTAGGGATTGGTGAAGTTTTCAGCGAATGAAAAGGAGGCGAAGTTATTGGGGGCAAAATGAGTCTTCGGAGAGGATCTCTTCGCAAATGACAAATTAGCAGGAAATGGTACAGGAATGGGCTTCCGTCTGTAAAAATTAGATTCTCAAATCTCCTCGAATACAAATGATTCCTACCATGAACTGCACGGCAGATTTAGTAACTACGCGTATCAGGTGTGAGTTGGAAGTTTGGTATTGGGGTGATTGGGTCTTTAAAGATGAAATCCCAGAAGTTGGCAGATTATCAGGGAACGATGTATATTACAGATATGATTTAGTGGCATGATAAACTGTGCAGTATATTTAGGAACGATGTAGAGCGGCTGCAAGTCATAAAGAGGCCGGATCTTAGTCGTTGTTCCGTTGGTTACAGATACAAGTATTTTGTTTTGAACACCAAGTCCTCAGCGCAAGAATTCCTGAAAATATTACAGGAAAGTTAGTCACGTGAAATTATAAGCCTACGATTTTATTTAACAGAAACTCGGTAATACCATGGGATATCTGACTAGAAGCGTCCATCCCACGAATCCACACTATAATTCCTAGTCTAAAAAAACTGCTACTGGGCCTCTGCCAGGGAAAACCAAGAAGGTCAGTATGGGAAGGTGGGAAATGAGACCCATCTCCGTCTCCTGCATGTATCATTTGATATCCTACAGAAGGAAGTTATTGTCTTTTGGGAAATTACAGCATGTTAACACGGTCATGGAGGCAAGGATATAGACCCAGGCTGAGCTTGTGGATGCTTGGATACGGCCCACCTGTTGTGAGCATGGCCTGAGTTTACCATGTAGCTGGAAGAAGTCACAGACTGCCATCACGGAGAGGAGGGAGTATGGACCTTTGAAAAACTTGGAACGGTGGTGGGACGTGCCTCGTGGAGGGGTGGGTAATTGAGTACGATTAGGCCTGGTGATGCCAGAGTTCAGCCTTTATCTTTCCTGGGCCTCGTCAATCTTTGTGAAATTCAGTTCTCCTCTGCATTTGGTCCCAAGTCTGAGCAGAAGAGTGTCGAGCCTGGCTGGCCTCCTGGTTGGCCTGGGCTAATTACAACCTTATATTCATTTCAGCATGACACTATTGATGCGTTGGTTGCTTTTTCGAAGATTCTTTTGATATGGAATAACTAATTGATAGAAAACGCATCTTTTTTATAATATCTTCTTCTTGCATATATTTCTGGCTATAACGTCCCCTTTATCACCATCAGGGTGTCACTATAGCATCAGACTTTTCTTTCATATATTGAAAATCTTCAAATAATTTGCTGTCAATCAAATAAATAGCTAATATATATGAGCCAACATATATTGCAGGCTAGTGCTCGACAGGGAAACAGGAAAGCCCAAAGGTTATGGATTTTGTGAATACAAGGATGAAGAGACAGCTTTGAGTGCTCGTCGCAATCTACATGGTTATGAAATAAATGGCCGTCAATTACGAGTTGATTTCGCCGAGAATGATAAAAGTACTGACCGAGGCAGAGAGCAGGTATAATTTTATTTCAGAAAAATACAGTTTGAAATTTGGTATGTCTATTTTCCCGATAGAATTTACCGTGAACCGTTCTATCTTTTGCCCCAGCAATGAACGAACAAGCGAGTCAGTTTTAACTTGCTTAGTCAGCTCAATTTAGTCACAAAATTTAGTATTGGAATACAATCTTTCTTTGCACCAGTGAAATGCTAGTTGCCTTACCTGCAAATTCCACACGTTGCCATTCTGTGTCTTAGGAACTGTTGCAAAATCTTCACTTGGTCTTTTAAAGTACATTGAAAATGTACTTTAATCATATACGCTTTCCTGTTCTAATCATATGTCTTTTGTATTCATAAAATATGTCCATAGGTGAGTTGACTGTCGATCCATGCATGTTTTTAACACTTTTCTTTGCCGTACACTTGCATTAGGTTCAGGTAGATAGGCTAAGTCTTGTGAATGTATGAAACAAACAGCTATATTTACAAGTTACCTAAGCTGTTTATGCATAAAATTTTGTTCATCAGGGTCGTGGAGGGCCAGGACTGGCATCAAGCACAGGTCGCCCTCTTTTCTCCTCAGTGTCTCTAATTTTCCATCTTTTATATGGACACTTTTGTTTCCTATCTAGTTGGGTTACATGGTAGGAATATAATAAAATAATTAAACGTCCTTACGAGCAGGTGCTCCCTCAATCCTTGGAGATTCATCTCTTCATCAACCAATTGGTCAGCAGTTAGCGGCCAGTGCTGCTTCAGCCATGGCCAAAGCGCTGGGTGAAGCCCAGACTAGTGGGATGTCCTCTAGTGGTCCACAAGGTCCGTCTGGGGCTGATCCTCTGACTCACTATTTGGCTAAAATATCTAGACATCAACTGTCCCAGGTCATGACTGAAATGAAGGTAACATACATCTGTTTTCTGCCTTCCACCTCTTATAGGAACTTTTTTGCATCATACCTCACGACATATAATCAATATTTATAAATTTATTTGTTTTCAGGCTTTAGCTACACAGAATGGGCCATTGGCCCGACAACTGTTGCAAAGTAGTTTGCAGTTGCCAAAGGCTCTCTTCCAGGTAATTTGTGACGTTTATTCTTTTTGGGTGGGGGGAATGTTGTTCCAACATGTTCCGACATTATAGATTCCAACGCAGCTCAGAAACTGAGCCATATCCGATGAATAGGGCCAAGTCAAACCTAGTCGGAATATGGTTTATTGGATATTTAGAACATATCAAGATTTGTGAGAAGATAAGGTCACTTCCTTGAAAGATTAAGTTCAGAGATATGTGACAACTGGGTGATTACGATGTGATCATGCATCATGAATTTCGAAATTTGGTTTAGCATGGACCAAAGAGAATGATTTCATTCTGTAGAAGGCTTTTTCTTTCTTTGGGGGAGAGGGGGTATGCATTGTATAGAATTTCGAATTTCGAAACTTGTATCCAAGTTTGCAAAAGAAATGATGGCCATTGAACCCACATGAGTGGTTCTAGATGACGATGTGGACATCTAGCTACCAGTGATAGCCCGTGCCCTCAAGTTGGATAGAGAGGCAACGAATGAAATGTGGCAAATCTAAGAAGGGTTTTGAAAAAACGTGCCATCAGTTTCTACATGTCTTCCACTGAATTTGATGGAAAAAGTATGGCACAATGGCGCAAAGACTGGTTTTAATGTGTACACTCGAATAATCTGTTGAACTAAACGTAGATTCTCATCTCTCTTGTTCATGCAGGCCCAGATAATGCTTAACATGGTGACGCCACAAATGGTGGGTCCTCTCTTCACCTTAAACGCTAGAAATACATCCGGAAATCAGACATGTCTAAACCAGACTAAGTTCTTGATTCTTTATTCCTCTGCAGCTGCAGATGCCAAATCTTCGCCAGCCATCTCTGGATGGTCTCGAAGCCCAGAAACCCATCATTCCGCCTTTTCATGGGCAATCTGTGACGCAGCCTGGAATTCTGGCCAAGCTGCCGGACGGTCAGGTCTCCGGCCTGGCACAGAGCCATCTGATCCCTGTGCAACCTCAGCTTCAGCATCTGCCGTCGGCCCAGGCTCAACATCTATCACAAGCCGTGCTTCTAGGAAAACCTGGGGTCCCAGCGTTTTCTCAGCCGCTCGGAGGGTTATCCGTCTCTCCGCTGACCTCCGTGGTGACGTCCAAGGGATTGCTTCAACAGATACAAACCCCTTCTCTGCAGCAAGACAGACCCATTGCACCTACAGCAGGAGGGATCCATTCAAATATCAGCATTCAACAGCCTCTCTCGGGACGCCTTCCATCGACCCAGGTTCTCTCGCCTTCCAAGGAATATGTTTCTTCCGACCCTAGTGATACCCTTGCTTATAGTTTTTGTATGATTGGCAGTATTATTTCTACTTTTTTTCCAAAGTTATTGATCTGATAACATTTCAAAGCAGCGAATTCCATCGGCACATATTCCCGGAGAACATGGGGCCTATGCCTCACTTAGCTACGACTCAGCGTGGGGTTCTCAGGCACGCATGGCTCAAGACGGAGATCATCCTTCAAAGCGCCTGAAGTTGGAGGAAGTAACCAGCGCTCCACAAGCCGGCGGCGGTGCTGCTTTTAGAACTAGGGGTGGTCTTGCCCAAGCAGCTGATACTGGCCTGCCAGCCGCCAGTCAAATGATCGGAGCTGATGGGACACAGCAGCCTGATAAACAGGCTCTTCAGGTGACTTGATTTACCCACCAAATCGTTTTTTTTTTTTTTTCTTGCTAATGAATCTTAACATTATCTTCATCTGGGGAGTTCTGAATCATGGCTACTTTTGAGGATTTTCTTATAAAATTTTATTTTCATCTCTTGAAAAGTTGCAAAAAAAATAAAATAAAATTTAGCAGACCAGGAAACTCTACAAACTTACCATTCTTGCTCACCTTCTGGGTCGTCTGTTTTCAGCTGCTAATACCTTTGAAAATATTCCTTGTAATCTCTGAAAAAAAATCCAATGTTCACCCTGCTTATTACTATTTGAGGGAACTCATTAAACGGGAAATTTCCACTGTTCTGCTCGCAGCTTCCGCAGGACATGCACAAGGTTCTCCTGGAGCAAGTGAAGTCCCTAACGGCAGAGCAGCTGAGCCTCCTCCCTCCGGAGCAACGTCAGCAGGTGATCGACCTCCAGCAGCGGCTGCGACTGCTGGAAGGGCTGGATGCTGCCTCGTAGCCCTGACAGCCGTCGGCTCTTCCCGAGTATTCTTTTCTGGCTGGAAGCCCTCGGATTTTCCCTCCGACCCCACCCTGTATTTTTATTTTACTTTTGAGGATTATGGAAGAGTGTAGGAGAGCAGGGCCGTCAAAAAAAAAAAAAAAAAACTCCATTAAACCCCTCCGCTGCCCCCAGAAAATAATAATCCAATGCTGTTATTTGTTTCACTGTTACGAAATTAGAATCAAAGTGTTCTTCGATCTCTAGCTTCTGGCCCGGGCGAGTTCTCCAAGCTGATCTTGTTGGATCAAGTCCTTTTTATAAAAGATGAATTATAAATATTAATATATATATTTATTCCATGTTTGTTTCATTTCAGTAAATATGTTGGCAAGTGTTTTATTGATTTTTTAATCTATATTGGGGCTTACCATATTCATTTGAAATATCAGCATTTCGGAATTAAATATGACCAAAGTTTTGTGGAAACCAACATCTTGATGCCCCTAAATTAAGATCTATGTGATCTCCGGCGAATCAGAAGATGAGGCTCTCTACTTACCCCGAATCGGAAACCCATAATAAATCTAAGATCATCAGGCCATAAATTATCATAATTGCAAGAAAATATCGACATCTGGAAAGTTGCATCTTCATGGGCTACATATAAATAGCAACAGCTCCCTTCCCACAGAAAGCAAGCATAATCTCAGGTGCTTCACAATACCATCTGCTCAAGATCAATATGATATTTCTGAGAAGATGTTGACAGCTAGTCAATGGATAAGACCAAAAGTTTTGTAGAATCTTGTACATATAAATAGAAAAAAAAGTCTACCACAGAGTTCCTTGCTATAATCTCATCATCATATATGTCCTTGCCTTATAAGAAAAACTCCTCCCCTTTTCAGTCCTCCTTGTCCCCAGGCTGGTACTCTTCCTGCCTGGTCTGCTCAGAAACGGAGCTACTGGCAGCAGTGGAGCTGCTGCTGCTGCTTCCTAGTTGAGCACCATCATCGTCGTCTGACCTGGTGACATATTGGATGACCATGATCACAGCGACGATGAACACGATGAGATATACGGTCCTGATGGTGATGAGTGAATTGATGAAGCCCATCAGTGAAGGGCCGCTGACCCTCTTCCGAATGGTTCTCCCTTCTCTGTATGCCTCGAGGAACTGGCTTACTTGAGAACCCTGGTCCAGATCGCCCTTAAGACTCTCTAAACCCTCAACCTGCGGAAATGATCCCGTCAGAAAAAAAAAAAGATGCCTCTCTCAAAAAAATGATGCAAGATTGAATGTATGTCATCTGATGTTTTTCTATGAGTGATGATATAAAGATAGTGAGGGATAATCTCGGATATGGTGTGACACTATTATGTGAATTTATAAAGGGACTCCATTTATGGCAAATAAATTCCACCCAGTAGTTCTTGTTCTCTCTACCAGGGATCATTCGCTATCTACAAAGATCGTCATGTTTAATACACTCCCGGACGATCTCCAAAAAAAAAAACAAAAAAAAAAAAAAAGGTCTTCCAAATTACCACATGAGTTTAGCTATCAGACTGCAAGCCAGAAGTGAAATTGAAGTCAGCAATGAAGGGATGGATTTCTCTTCAGAAGAATACACTACAAGAGAAAGGGAACAAAGAGAGATTTAATCCCATAAATGTTGACAAAATGTTCAGGGAAATTGTTCTAAGAAGGTAATCTATCCGTATGTTATGTGTATATACATATGTAATATGATATTTCATAGACAAGAAAATAGCACATGTTATGCCACAAAAAAGAGATGTTCCTCACCACATGGTACTCTTCATTTCCGTCCCAGATGAGCATCTTTGGAAGCTCCGATTTCTTGTTGATGCCAAATGTTTCTGTGAAGTCTTCCCACTGCTTGACTCCAACATATGCAAACACTAGGTCGCGATTCGCAGATGCAGCAGACTTCAAGATCTTCACAAGTTTCTGTGAATTCTCACCCACGTCATCTTCCAAAAATGTCACTACAATTCTTCGCTTGTCATCACCCATTTGCTTCAATGTCTCAAAGTTTATAGGAACGACCAGAGGCAGCTGATTCTGCTTAATATAATCCTCCAAAAAATCTCCTGCACATTCCAAGAGAACCACATGTCAACACTTTCCATAAGTGGCATGGCGGAGATCATATGGGCCAAGCAAATAAATGACCCATCTGATTAGACATTCAGCTTTTGCATGTTTCAGCAGGCAAGAGGCCATCGCAATGGACTCTCCATGAATCTGTCCTCCTCAAGAAAGAGGAGAATGAGATCCACTGTCCCCCCGCCCCGAGGAGGAGACGGGGCAGAGTGTGTGGTTTATCAACATGATCAGCTATGGAAGAGTTAACTTGTTAATCCGCCAGCCATCCCCATACCCAGGGCATAAATGGAGTCCAGAGATGAATGTGGGACATCATGAGATGTAAACAGTATTGGATGTGACGTCCACAACCAGACATCGAGTAGCAAAACTTACTCCAGCCAGATGGCTCTAGTAAAATCCTCCGAATGCAGGATTGAATGCAGAAATAATCACGTCAAGTACACACATGATTTTCAGAAGAAGAAAAAAATCCTAGCCATTTCAATGAAGACATTTATATAGTATTTCAGCTTTTAATTTGCCAAATAAGTAACTTGGTGTTTCATATTTGTTCCATTTTATTCGGCAACTAACAGCAGATTGATTCCAGCGCACTATTGTACGTGCCAAAAAAATAAAAGCATGTTTATGAGGATAAATATGCATAACGCGGATTCTCGTTTTCACATTAACCAAATTTAAGCCAAGAACATCTTCGCAGAATTACATGCTTTCAACTCTCCATATTTTTGGCAAAATACACACAAAACCTTTACCCAGTTCCTTCTTTACCTTCGTTTTTTTCTGTAGAGTAATGATCATCATCATTTGTTCGCTATATTCAATGTGTTCATGAATGTCTTACAGCACACAATTTTCTATATGGCATAATAGTGTACTCGCCTATCGAACTTATACAAGAACAGAACATCAATACAAAATCTGTAGACTAAAGCAGATAAAAGACTGCCATTTCTTGTTCCAAACGTACCATCGAAAGGGCCATAAAAGACGCTTTGCTGATTATACTTGGGGTGAAGAGAGACCAATGCAGGAACCTTGTCAAAGTCGTATCTTACCATAACATCTTCAGAGAAATCTTTTGCTACAGAAAACCAGGCTTTTTTCTTGTATTTCTTCGCTAATTCATATATTACAGACTGATTCAAGTCAAAGCCGATGAATACCGGAAAACTTGTTCCAGCAGACTCAACAAAATCATGAATGCCAGAATCTGATTCAAGTATAACCACATCAGGCGCAGCAAACTTTCTCAAATATCTAACAAGCAAATCATGTCTCCTTGGACCAGAGTAATCAGTTGGGATGCCATGAATAAAAACCTTCAATGTGGGAAACCCGCTACAACAAAAGAGGAGAAAAATCATTTTTCAGTTTTGTTGTCCAAAATCATATTTCCATGCTTAAGAGTAAATAATAACTCCTAAGGGAAAAATCACATGCGGAAGCCATCCATTAAAAATATTTACTACTATAATAAATAATAACAAGTAAAATTAAGGTGGAAATCAAATAAATGTCCACATACTCAATTTCATATTTAGAAGCAAGTTTGGAATATTTATCAGCATTTATTTTGGCAATCACAATGGGGTGATCCAACTGAGCGAGTAGGGGCGCAGCAGCATCCAACTGCAAACAACAAATAAAAGGCATCATCAGGATGCTTTATCACGCATGAACCAAAGAAGTTTTAGAATAAGAGGAAACTCGGTTGGGAATCCTTAAAGAATTGTAAATAACAAGACAGCAATAACCATACTTCTATTTCAAACCAACCATACCAATAAAATCAAATCCATCGACATCTGATACAACATACGAATGATGAGAAATTTTCAAACCTGTCAACACATTCCAGACATGTACTACAAGGTAAAAACTTTCTCAGTTGGGCATGTTTAATTTATTAAAATTATTCTATATACATGAGTAGGAGAGCAGACAGACACACACACGTGCACAGGCAACACGTACTTGAGCCCTCATATTTTTCATATTTCATCCGCACATCTATGCCAAGACCTTTTGCTTCCTTGCCTGAATTTTGGAAACTAAAGATCCAAAGCACAGAACAGTGGTAGAAAACAGTATGTGAAATGATTTCCCTTTGGATGTCAGTACTGACAATGAACAAAACCAAAAATACAGAGTCAAATATCAGATAGTGTTACATTTTTTTGGTTGGGAAAAGTTACAGTATTGATAGGGTTATTTCAGAGTGGAGTATATATATCTTGAACCATTTCTCGATTTGTGAGTGTCATCCTTGCGCAGGGGCCATGCTAATCCTCTCTGTATCGTTCCAATTTTATCGGATGTCCCCGAAGGGACAATTTTTAACTTGACATTAAATGACCGCCAAAATAGGTTTCGTGTGAAAATGAAAGTTTAATTTTCCTTTCTTGGGAGGAGGTTCTATGGCTATCAACAATCACATTTCTGTCATGACACCAGCGAGAAGCCATAAATTAAAGAGCTAGAAAAAGGGGTTTTAAGCATTCTTATTAAGTAAAATCCGTCAAGTTTCCATACTAGCACCATATTCTAGTAAACATCTTAATTAATATTCTATTACCTATTCCAACCGTCCTAATTTCCTTCAACAGACAAGATATGATAAGTACGTACCAAAAATTCTATTACAAGAGAGCCATTGTATACCCACCACCTGGCAGTAAATAACAATATGTCAATTCTTTAAAGGCAAGATCTTCAACACACTACATCAATTAACATAGCCTGGCTCCACTGCTGCCATCATCATCATCATTATCAAAAATCCTGCGTAATTAACCTTATGATAGCAATGCAAGATACATAGGGGAAACTTGACTATACATAAAGGTTCTGCACTAATGCTGATGTCTCAGTCTCTCGAGTAAAGTCTAAAAAAGAAGAATAGAATATGAAAAATTTGTAACAAGAAAGCTTTAAAAATAGCCCAGTAGCAAAATAAAAAATAATTATATCAGGCTACATACAATCAGGCACTCATCTCAAAGTTCGGGAAAAGCATTTTACCATAAGGAAAAGGAAGAATTAAAAAAAAAAAAACAAGTTTGTATGCATGTGCGCATGAACTGAAACAACTATACTGCATTTACAAGGAGGGGAAGGATGGAAACAATATCGAAACTGTAAATGCATGAAGCATTTGGATCACAATCTGACAGTTTTGAATATTTAAGCAAATCATACAAACACAGGCACCACCAAACTTTCAACAAATGAGTAAAGCTGATGTTAGAATGTTTCAACACATCCACCTCTACTCACCATTCCTCTACTGTAAATGGTTGTCACCGGTTGTTTGACAGATGGACTACTGATGATATTTCTATTGCATTCAGGCACCACCAATTTATAGGAACATGAATAGTTCAAAACATGTTTGGAAAAAAAGAAAAAGTTGAACATCTATTTCGTAGTTGCAAAGTGACAGGAGAAAATATGGGGAAAAGACCAAAGAAGAAGATTTGTCGAGTCAATTTTCTGTCATAGAGGAATGGTGAGTAGACCTAAACAAGCTCCCCACAGCCTCAGCCTCAGCCTCTCGAAAGTCCACTTTCTGGTTTTTGATTTGTCACCTCCATCAGTGACTCCTCTACGGCTTAAAATGGATGCATCTGACAAACTCTTTGATAATCATAATCAACTCGCTACAGTTTATAGCCAACAATCTAACTATTTTCTTTGCATTGTGGATTCCATACCCAACGTGATCTTAGATTCTAAATTACTGATCAGTTCTCCTCTATGGCGGATATGACATGGGATAACAGCATCAATCAAAAAGGTTTCAGCCAGCACAGACAGAAATAAAAGAAACTTGTCGCATGAAACCTAATACTAAAATACACAGCTTTCAAATAACTTGGAAGCCACGTGACCGAAGAGATACAGATTGACATGAATAGGACACCGCAGAGCACAAATGACACCACATCGTCCAGAATGTCTGAGATGCATAGAGAAACAGGGTGGAGACAGTTGCGAACCTCGGGAGCCAGGCGCTTGCAGTGCCCGCACCAGGGAGCGTAAAAGTCGACGAGGATGTAATCAATGGAGGAGATCGCCGCGTCAAAATTGGATTCCTCAAGCTCCAAGACCGTCCCATCGGCGGAGAACTCGTGTGCCGAGAGTAGAGGTGCAGCGGCGGACAAGATTGAAGCCAACAGGAGGAGGAGAAACCCTCCCAGATGAGATTGACGAGGCTCCATCTCCCTCCAGCTTCGCCTCCGGCTCCTCCGAGCTACAGGAGGAGAATCGTAGCCTTGTTTCCGATCGGAGAGTTTTTTCAGTTACTTTCTGGCTCCTGGGGGAATCATCCAAATGGTCTGGGCCGGGGATCTTCTAAACTAGGCCTGGGCATGAGTCTGGTTATGGGCCTGTATCCAAATGACTAACCCCTTGGACCGTAGCCCATGGGTTTATTGGAGTCTCCTCATGAGACCGCCAGACAATCTTCCAATATTTTGAACCTTTGGCAAATCCGTAAATTTCAATAATTATTTTTCCCCAGCCCAAACCAGCCCAATTATATTTGACCCGACAAAAACTCAACAATGACATGATTTCTTAAAAATAATAGCTTTAATAAGAGAGAATAAAATAGGCCTATTGTGCTCTATATGTGCATATTCTGGAGGGGGGGGGGGGAGAGAGAGAGAGAGGAAGGGAGAGGGGGAGATAGAGGAGAGAAGGGGAGAGAGGAGAGGAGAGGAGAGGAGATAGGAGGAGAGAGAGAGAAGGAGAGAGGAGAGAGAGGAGAAGAGAGAGGAGAGGAGAGAGGAGAGGGAGAGAGGGAGAGAGAGGAGAGAGAGAGGAGGGAGAAGGGAGGGAGGGAGAGAGAGGGAGAGGAGAGAGAGGAGAGAGAGAGAGAGAGAGAGAGAGAGAGAGGAGAGGGAGAGGAGAGAAGAGAGAGAGGGAGGAGGAGAGAGAGAGAGAGAGAGAGAGAGAGAGAGGGAGAGAGAGAGAGAGAGAGAAGAGTAGAGAGAGGGAGAGAGGGAGGGAGAGGGAGGGAGAGAGAGAGAGGGAGGGAGGGAGAGAGAGGAGAGAGAGAGAGAGAGAGAGAGAGAGAGAGAGAGAGAGAAGAGAGAGAGAGAGTAGAGAGAGTAGAGAGAGAGAGAGAGAGGGAGAGGGAGAGAGGGAGAGGGAGAGAGGGAGGGAGAGAGAGAGAGAGGGAGAGAGAGTAGAGAGAGAGAGAGAGAGAGAGAGAGGGAGAAGAGACAGAGATGGAGAGAGTTTATGGGTGTGGTAAATTGGGCCAAACAAAGTCTCATCTTTCTTTGAATTGTGCGGTTCAAGCGTCACATAGATGGAATAGATTAAGGGAAAACGTCCAACCCCTACTGCTTTTAGGAAAAACCCTAAGTGATATTTGGTTATTACAAAAAAGCACGCAAAATTTATTATTTATTCAGTTTCAAAGTGAGTATTTAATAATATGTTCTTAACCTTTGCAATGGTAACTGATGTTAAAAAACGTTTCAGGTAGGAAACAAATGGCGATGAAAGGGTGTGTTTTTAGTAATAAACGCAAAATAAATGGTTCCAAGAGCTGTCTAACCTTTTTACTAGTCTGGGGTATTTCTGAATTATATATATATTTTATATTTAATAATAACGTATTTTCTAAATCAGAATTATCATCATTCAAGCTGAGATCAATATCATATACTAATCCAATAGATAAACCATAAAACTGCCCAAAAAAATCATATTTACACGTCATAAATGAAGCTAATCAGTTTATCTAATTATTTTGATTCTCTTTGGGCCTTGAAGAGTCCAAACAAGTTTTATTCCGGGGCATTGTTGCATGTGTCAGAAAATAAACCGCCACGTGGATGCTCGTTATAATGGGCCGGACGCATCACAGCCCAGAGGACTGGCCCGCCCGAGCTGGGAAAAATATATTTATTTCGGCATCGTTTCAGCCTCGTTTTAAATATATGAATAAACAAAAACAACCAAGACTGCTGTCTCATCATTGGATGATCCAACGTCTACGTGGCGGTCCCTACGAAAGCGGACGGACCCTGTGGTGGGGCCCGTCTTGTTCTCATCCTTGCCGCTCTCCCTATGTCTAGGCTGACCGCCTCCGATGCGCGACAGCCGAATCGACGGCACGGATCGCCCCTCGCCGAACTCCGCCGCTGGATTCTCCCCGTCGGATTGTGCTGTTCCGGAGGGTGGTGAGGCCCAGGAGACCAGAAGATTCCGCCCCTAGCTTCCGAGGGTGGGGAATGGCGTCTGTAGCGGGTGAGATCGTTTGTGTGCTACCCATTCAGATATATCCACGTGGCAGAATATGTTCTACTCGCCACTTGGGGTGTCAGCGGGCCGAATTTGTGTGCTATATAAGATCGGCCCGGCTCAGTCTGGATGGGCTCGTCGTGGCCCGTAGGCTTCTCCCCAAGCCGTCCCCATAATAATGACGACCACAGCCTTTCTGTGGCTAGACAGGGCCGGTCGGGGGTTAACAAAAAAGCCCGACCCGGATTATTAAATGGGTTGGGACCGGCCCGGCCCATGTATACCTACCATGGGAGCCGATACCCGAACTTCTTTTAACCCGTGATAGTCGGCACGTACGTCTCGCAGTGCCATAAGCTAGGATAAGGCCGATGGCAGAGGTGGACACAATCATGACCGTCCATTTTCGAAGAAGTCGAATCTAAATTTAAAAAAGACGCACAGAATCAACGTCCAGATCTAGGTGTACGGTCAACATCGGCCACGTCAGTAAGGGTGCTCCCTTCGATTTCGCTCCAGCGAAGACAGATAGAGCAAACCAACTCGACTTACAAAAATAGGCCAATTAATTAATTAATTAAGGGAATGCTTTTCCGTGGTCCATCGAGCGGCGGGGGGGGGGGGGGCATCGATGGGGGACGGCTCCTCTAGGGTGCCACGGATATGCACTGGCATCCCCTCCCAGCGCGAGAGAATCTTCCACCGTACTTCTCTGATCGATCTCCGGTTGATATTAGTTCAGATCTGGACGTGTTGCCGCGCACAGACCGCCTCCCGCTCCTCCCCTCAGCTCGCTCATGGAATCTGATGTTTCCATCCGCGTAGAATTCCGACGTTCAGGTACCGGTAGTTCCTGCGAATTTTCTTTCCGTCTGGCGTAGTGGATGTCTTCGTTGGGAGAATTTTCGCCTTATGATTCTGCGTCGATTTATTTCCCTTCCATTTCTAGTAGGCGTGATTGATCGTTCCCTTCGCTGGCTCTTGTCCGTGTTATTTTCTGCAGAGTTGCAAGAAGGGCAGAGGCTTTATTTCGATCTGTGGAAGAAGGGGTTTTAGACTTGATAACGCGGACACGCGCTCGAGCTGACCGAATCGGACTTGGGCATTTGTAACTCCTTTTTTCTGACGATGTGCGGAACGGGTGCGATGGGTTTTATGCGAGGGGGAGGGTGCGTGGGAACGCTAGTGTATCTTCTTCTTTCTTTGCTAGCGGTTAGAAGCACAGGCACTGTCGTGTTAATCGGGAAGAACGTATCACTATCTTTCGACGATATTGAAGCTAACTTTTGTAAGTGATGGCATATTTTGCTTCGGTACTTTGTATTTTCCTCTTGATTACCAATCCTTTTTGCTCTCCTCTTTGCAATTAATGGTTTCGAGCCTCTATTTTCTTCAATTTAATGCATTGCGTTGTTTTTCTGCTTCCAATTAGCGTTCTGACTTGAGCGTATCTGTTATATGTAGAAAGACGAGCAATTAACATCGATTGAATTAGTATTTTTTCTTTCTTCATCTACGCCAAAAGAAACTTGTCTTTTAAAATGTAAGATGCTCGTCATTTGGTAAAAGGCACTTAGTTAAATAGTCTAGTTTGATAAATTATCTTGCAAGAGAGCACCTAGGTAAGTCCCAATCGGAATTCACTACCCCTGAGCACCGCCTACCTGTGCTTTTGAACAAATTGATATCTTGAAGATGCTTATCTCAGATGATTTATCCTTTGGTTGTGTGGATGCTAGTCCTTTGCAAGAACTAGGAACATAGAACTGGAAGGTGTGGTTAGGTTACAGTTTCAAAAGAAAAATGCACACATGCGACTGGAAGGAAGAAGACTTCAAACTTAGTATAGAAAACTAATATGTATGCACGATTTTAAGGTCAAGAATATGTAACTTGAACCAGTTAAGACGTGAAGGTTAGGGCTGTCCTGACGTCAAGATAAGAAATATATTGAAATGTTATGACTGCATAAAATGTAATGTAATCTATCGGAGTTATGTAGAAGAGAAGATATAATACTCAGTATCAAAGGGACTTGAGGCATTTTATTATGGAGATAAATGTCGCAGGTGCGGCCTTAAGTGCACTATTCGGATGAACTGAGGTTGGCAAAGTGTTAGTCTAATCTATGACCTTATAAAGCTATAATGGGAGCATAAAGGTCCCCAAGGCAACATGAACCCAAGAGAGTACTTTTGGCTGATTCTAGTACGTATTATCTAAGGGGGGGAAAGTTGTTGATAAACACATTTGAAATGGTGCTTCAGTTACGTATTATATGTACACTTATTTGTTGATGACTTTTCTATAACGACTTTTCTGTAACGACTTTTCTCCCCCTTGAAATATTGGTCCTCTGTGTTTGCATGCATGTACTCACCTGAAGAGACTGAGCATTCCTCTGGGAAAACCATGTTCATTTCACATAGGTTTTCATATTTTATTCCATAATATTGTTCTTTGGAACTGCCTACGTACATTTTACATATAAATTATTCTCAATGCCCATGCTTTTTCTCTGCAACTCGTCTTTTTAGTGAAGTGTACAGCGTTTCTTTGCTGTTTACCTTATTTCAGAAAATCCATGATAATTTCACGTCACGATGTGAATTAACCTTTGTCACTATTATTGTTGTCTTCTCTGGTTTCAGCACCTGCAATAAAAAGTTCCGGTATATCTGGAGTTTTGTATGTGGCAGAACCTCTTGATGCCTGCTCTCCATTAACCAATAATGTAGAAGAAGCTACCACTTCATTTGCACTCATTATACGAGGAGGATGCACATTTGATGATAAAGTAATGGCTGCACAAAAGGCAGGATTCAAGGCCGCCATCGTATACGACAATGAAGATGGTGGTCCTCTAGTTGCAAGTAATGTGCTTTTGGTTTCACAAATTTGCACGTCTTTTTATAAATTTTCCGTGTCTTTGTTACATCTTGAAAGGAATGGCCTGCAGTCTTTTGCAGATTGAAAGATAAAAATTGTACTAAAGTTGATCCTGTCTTACACTGTGCATGAAATACTCTTCTCTTGTTTATTTTTCTTGTGTCTGTGTTTGGCTCTTAGATCTCATGTTTCTGATCGTATCCACACAGTTGTACTTCAAAATCGTTTCTTGGACCAAGCGCTGGTGTGATATGCATACTAGTCTGCTTTTTATTTCGTGAAAATGCTGATAGTTGTCGCACCTTTTTTTTGTCACTTTTGGCTACAATTTATCTCGAGAAAATTCTTTTTTAAATGATGGAAATAAGCTCTTTGAATGGCGACCCAGTGATCCCAAATAAGTAAATTGGTAGTGGTTCAGAAGTTCTCATCTCTTGCATATCCTTTGCATTTTTGTCTAGATCTCCTCTTTACATACATTTTAGCTGGGCAGGGAAGTTTTTCTCCTTTGGCACAGTAAAGGCTCTCTTCATAGGCCTTACAGTCATTTCCCCCTTTTCTCTTCACTCCTACCCCCATTATTCTTGATGTTCTAAACCTAAAACTTATAGAAGTTGATTCATGCATCTTATCCATCCCATGCATGATTTTTTTTTTTAATTAGCCATTCGAAAACGTATAATATTTTATGGTCGACTGATCTATTGACTTAATCTGGGTTACAAATGGTCACAGTGGCAGGGAGTCCTGAGGGCATCAGAATACATGCTATATTTATATCCAAAGCTTCAGGTGAGATGCTGAAGTACTACGCAGGACGCTCGGACGTTGACCTATGGATCATACCCACCTTTGAAAACTCAGCCTGGTCAATAATGGCTATCTCTTTCATTTCCCTCCTGGCCATGTCCGCTGTTCTGGCTACGTGCTTCTTCGTGCGTAGACACCGTATAAGGCGTGAGCGGCCCAGAGCCCCCAATGTAAGAGAATTCCACGGGATGAGCAAGCATCTGGTGAAAGCAATGCCCAGCATCATCTTCACATCAGCCCTGGAGGACAACTGCACGTCAAGAACTTGTGCTATCTGCCTCGAGGACTACAATGTAGGGGAGCAAATCAGAATCCTGCCATGCCGTCACAGTAAGTCAACTCCTATAACGGCCCATCTATTAATTATGCTCGTGATTATCTTATTTTTTTTAGTATTCTGGTCTCTCTTCCTACTTCGAAAAAGATTTATGTTGGGTATTCTAAATCTTACTCCAAATCTTATCTGCATGAATAAATCGAATACCATATTTAAAAACTGATTGTTCGGTCAACGGTATGGGGATTTTATTTTCTCTTTCATCTGTAAATTCTTCGGGAAATATTTCATGTTAAGTATTCTAAATCTTACTCAAAATCTCATCTGCATGAAGAAATCGAATGGCATATATAAAAACTGGTTGTTCCGTCAACGGTATGGGGATTTTATTTTCTCTTTCTTCTGTAAATTCTTCGAGAAAGATTTATGCTGGTTGTTCTGAATCTCATCTCCAAGAAGAAATCGAATGGCACATTTAAAAACTGGTTGTTCTTTCGACGGTATGGGGATCTTATTTTCTCTCTCTTCTGTAAATTTTTCTCCTGCCTTCATAAATTGAGCTCAGTGATCTCGTACACACCTCCATCCGGGCTCTGCGATTCTTCTCACATTTTCTCTCTCTATCTCTGTCCGTGCAGAGTTCCACGCGCAGTGTGTGGACTCATGGCTGACGACGTGGAGGACCTTCTGCCCCGTGTGCAAGCGAGACGCGAGGACCAGCTCCGGCGACCCCCCCGCCTCCGAGTCCACCCCTCTCCTCACCCCTCCGCCGCTCTCCTCTTCCCCCGCCGCCGCCGCCGCATTTTCCTCCTTCCGTTCCTCCCCTTCCCCTTCCCCTTCCAGAGCCATCCAGATAGCCCACCGCTCCCCGGCCCACTCCCCGAGCCGTTCCTCCTTCTCCAGTATCCCTCGCCACCCCTACTCTCAAAGACCCCTCTGCAACTCCCCCTCCGCCGCGGTGGCCGGCGCCGCCGCTGCCCTCACCATGAACAGAAGCTCCGCCGACCTGAGAAACGTCCCCTCCCACCGGTCCCTGGCCTCCCTCCTCTCCTCCCCCCAAAGCTCCTTCTGGGTCTCTCCTAACGTACGCGGCTCCAGCATCGGCTCCCCGAGCTACCTCGCCGGATCCTTCAGCCAGCGGCAGTCGTTCCTCCGGGACGGCTCCTCCGCCAGCCTCTCCGCCCTCGCCTCCGCCCATTCTCTCCCCGACTGCTGATTTTCCTTCTCCTCCTCCGCCGCCGCCGCCGCCGCCGCCGCCGCCGCCGCCTCCTGTTCTCCGGCGCTGCTCACTCGAGGTATCCATCCATCCATCTTCCTTCGTGGTGGTGCCGAGCTCGTGCGGGTGCCCTAATTCTTTCTTCTGGCAGGGAGGCTTGCTTCTGTACAGGAAAAACAGGAACAGAGTTTGAGTAATTCAGGCTTATTGGGTATCAGCTGTTCTTTTAAAATCCTTTATTTTTTTTTCTTTTTAAGAAATCATATTGAGTTTTGGGCATGATCACGGGACAGAAATTGTGGGTTTGACCTCGTTCTTCGAGAGAACGAGCAATCTGGATCTATCTGGGTCTGCTATTAACAGATCTCGTATGACTTTCTCCAGAGGGGTGAATCTGGTATTAGCAGCTCCATCTCCCCAGATAGCCTCCCCCTCTTTAAACGAATCGAAGCGGAGGAACAGGACGAGAGAGAAAGGAGGGAAGAGAAGAGAAGGGGGCGGGCACCTTCACCACCGTCTCCGTAGCAATCCGGCGCGACGGGCCCTACGAGGCCCTGCTGGTCCTCTAGGTACCGGTCGAGCAGCGGCAGCACGTCGACTGTCGTCGCCATCGCCGCCCCCGCGGCCCCCTCCTCGCGCCGCCTCGTGCTCCTCCCGGCGCCGCCGCCGCGGAGGGCGAGAAGGCAGATAACTGGGAAGGAGAAGACCGCAAGCGGAAGAAGGAACGGCAAGCAGCAGATCATCACCAGCAGGCCCAGCAATCGCGTACCCGTTGCGCCGCCGCAACGGCACCCTCCTCCCGGTGATCGCACCATCCCCTTCCTCCTCCTTCTCCTCCTCCTTGTTCTTCATGGTACTAATACTCTTTGCGTGGCGTTGGGGAGAAGCATTACTGACCTGGCCTCCCCGCGTGGATAACACTTTCCCGCATTCCCACCGGCAGGTAGTTTTCCTGATCAGTCGGTCTCATGGTCGCCGTCGGCCACTTTCTCTCTCTATCTCTATCGATCTCTCTCTATCTCTCTGTGTGTTGGTGGGCCAATGGACGGTGGCGCCGTCGTAACGTCAACAAATGTTTTTCAATCGTGACCAGCATTGAAAGCTCAATTAAATTAATTTTTAAGAGGGGAGCATTTCCGACCGGGCCCATGAAGTGGATAGGTCCGAGTTGGGGTTTGGTCAGTGGGCCGAAATTTCGGCCCATCGACGGTTTTCGAAGGTTTAATTTGGGCCCATTAACACATGGGTTACCCTTTTTGGGCCTTGGCCCAGTCTTCGATATGGAAGCAGACTCCTCTCTTTGTTTTCTCTCAGATGGAGTGGACCGTAACCCATTTACTGAACAGGCCCATTATTGCGTCCTTGTCAAGCTGGGGGGAAGATCGTGGGAGTTTTGACTTCTTGATGCCGTCATCTTTAGGGATATTTTTATTAATTTTAATACCAATTTTCCACAATATTTTCATATGACCTGTATAATATTTATAATAAAAATAATCCATAGGCCCATTTACACGTAGCCCACCAGGTGGCCCAATTAGCTCCTCAGCGTGAGTAGGAATCCGAGTAAGCCCAATATATTTATTTATAGCCCATTTATAGGCCCATTAAGGTGTGAGTCACGGTTTTCGGGCAACTTCGTCTTATTCATCTTAGCTGAGACGTCCGGCCGCCGCGGCGGCGAAAGACGCGCGCCGATTGGGGAAATTCATTTCCGGGTCATGATTTGGTCCTCCCGGGCACTCTGATCTGGCCAAAAGTTTCTATTTTTTTATTCAATTCAAAGCCCACGTGGGTTTAATTGTTTTCTCCCGTCCGCCATGGCGAGCGGGGAATAGATGGTTGACTTCGATCCGGAAGAACACCCCCCATCGGGACGCTCTTCTGGATGATCCGCAGGCGCCCCTCCGACCGATGGCCTTCTCTCCGAGCGGCGGCGGACCGCCGGGGTCAGAGGTGGCGCATTTCTCCGACAATCTGAAGGGTTTCGTGCTGGCCGTCGCCTCAAGCCTCTTCATCGGCTCCAGCTTCATCTTCAAGAAGAAGGGCCTCAGGCGCTCGGGGTCTTGCGGCAGCGGGGCCGGTGAGTTCGCCAATCCCCAGCCCTTTCTCCATTATTGCTCATATGCTGATGTGGGTCTTGGGGGTTTCCCTGTGAAGCTGTGGGAGGCCATGGATATCTCCGGGAGCCGCTCTGGTGGCTGGGATTGGTCACAAGTAAGCATCAGGCCTTTCCGGCTATGCCTCTCTTCTCTTTTGTGTGTCGCTTCGGAAAGCTGACCTCCGGTGCTTTCCAACTTTGTTGCAGTGATCGTCGGCGAGATTTCCAACTTTGTTGCCTACACGTTCGCTCCTGCGGTGCTCGTCACCCCCTTGGGCGCTCTGAGCATAATAGTAAGGTAAGACGCGATTAAGAAACAAAAGAGAAAACCTCCTACTGGTTCCATCCACGAGGGTTCCATTTATTGGTGGGATTGGAATGGTGCAGCTCTATTCTGGCGCATTTCTTGCTGGAGGAGAAGCTGAAGAAGATGGGTGTCTGGGGCTGCGTTCTGTGCATCGTGGGCTCCACTGTAATTGTGCTTCATGCGCCCGAGGAGAGGACCCCCGGCTCTGTGGATGAGATTTGGAATCTGGCCATCCAACCAGGTGCTTCTTCCTAGATTTTGCTCTGGTTTTTGAGGATTCAATCTTTTCATAGCTGCTCATCTCCTACGGATGCTGCATTTTTCTCCAGAATTTCTTCTGTATACGGCAGCAGTGGTCGCAGCGTCTCTGGTTCTCATGCTGCATTACTCCCCACTCTACGGCCAAACAAATATACTGATCGATTTGGGCATATGTTCTATGATCGGATCTCTGACTGTAAGTAGAAAGAATTATCCTCTTTTTTCTGGGATTTTTTCTTCATCCTCTGGGTCCCCGTTAGTTGAATTTTCTTCTTTCCTTCTGCAGGTGATGAGCATAAAGGCCATAGGCATTGCCATTAAGCTCACAGTGGAGGGCACAAACCAGGCGGGCCGTTTCCAGGCATGGGTTTTTGCCATGGTTGCAGCCACCTGCATCATAATCCAGCTCAATTATTTGAATAAGGTGGGCCTCATTTTCTATGTTTTGACAGCTTCATGGTCAATTCAATTCATCCTTAGATCTTGGGTTCTGATCTGGATGCCCTGCGGAGCTTCATGCTCCTCAAATCGTACCAATATTAAGCTAAATTGGGCTTTGCGCTTCTGCTTGAGATGAATTAAATTTCATGTCCCCGGGAACTATGAATTTCTTCTGTGTTTAATCTTAAACTTGCGCATATGTTTGAATTTCTCGTAGGAAATAGTCTGAAGAAATCCTCAAGATCCGAAATCCCCATTAGCATTTAATGAAATTACATTTTATATGGATTCATGGGGATTAAAAATCGTATGGCCAGATGTATGAATCGGCTATGAAAACTGTTGATTGGTCTTGCGTTCTGATAACCCAATATCTTAATAAAATGAACAAGCCAACGGAAGACTTTGCTACCTCCTCTGTCATTTTCCCCAATACCACAGCCAGATCGATCACGCATGAGCAGCTATTCCAACCTCAGTATTGTCTAATCAGTCATCCCTTTCAAAGCCAGATTTATCCTTCCTCGTAAACAGATAAGCAACCCAATTATCCCTCTTATTCCATTTCGGGATATTTTACTTGCTAATATGATGATTTTTCCATACATTAATGTTTTTTTTTTGCCACCTCAAGCTTCAGTCCGATCTGCTGTCAATTTCAGAGCAAGGATGATATTTTTTGGGTTCGTTGCTTCTTAACAGGCACTGGATACCTTCAACACCGCGGTGGTTTCTCCCATCTACTATGTTATGTTCACTACTTTCACCATTGCTGCTAGCTCCATAATGTTTAAGGTTTATATTTTCTTATATTTTTAAATATTTAACCGTCTTCTCCCCAAAAAAGGGAAAACCTCGCAAGGGCCTGATTTTTTGATAAATTTATTTTTCTAGGATTGGTCTGGGCAGAAGGCGAGCGATATAGCTTCAGTGTTTTGCGGGTTCATAACTGTGCTTGCTGGGACTACCTTGCTGCATTCTACAAAGGAGCCAGACTCACTCTCTGCAGCAGGTCCCCCTCTCTCTCTCTCTCTCTCTCTCCCTCCATCTATCTATCTATATATATATATATATATATATATATATATATATGTCTAGAGAAGCTGGTTACTCTCAGAGTATCCTGGTTTCAGGCAAATATATTATTTTTTCAGAACTAATGAGAAATCCTTGTCTCAGCTAGTTCTTTCCTCTAGCTCGTGCTTGTAGGACCCCTCTCCTCCCAGTCAACCCTTCTTTTCTGGCTATGGATTTTCCTTCGAGGATCATCCATCGAGAGACCTTGATGCCTCTGTTTCATTATCCTTTTGTGGCATGTGATTTCTTGGAGCTAACCCCTTCATCTCCCACACTTCGATGTCTCCGTTTTCAGCAGCTTCAAGGGATTTGTGCTTTCCACTGTCACCGAAGCTCCTCTGGCCCATCCAAGAAATCGGGGGACTGTCTGGGCTCAAGAACAGCGGCACAATATCGTCGGATTTGATCGCCATCCTCCGACAAGACCATTTCTCTTGATAGAAGGATGAACAGTTAGATTGTACATCCATTTTTTTCGCCATTTATGTGCAGGAAATAAAAAGCATGCTTTGTAAATTAAAGAAATTAAAAAAATGTCATGGGTTTTGGCAGGAACAGAGCATGTCAATTCATTGTGTTCTACACACTGTGATGTCCTGTTCCTTGGCCATCTAATTGCTGCAAGCTGCAGAAACAATTTCGCTAAAAAAATTATTTTTAGCGAGTATTCTTTTTCAGAGAATGGAACCTATTTTTTATTTTTCGTTGCAGATTTAATGCTGTGAGCTGCAGAAGCAATCGGATGAGAAAATTGTGGGTTTTTGTCGTGGGTTTGGTGAGAAAAAAATTATTGGGACATAATAATCTGTATTGGATTGGCGGGCCCGATCGAGCACACCACTCGAGATATAGGGATCAGATCAGGCGCCATAAGCTGCCGATCCGCCTATTAACCAGATTAATCGTCGGACAAAAATAATAATGAAAGAAAATAATAATAAAAGGTTTCCTTAATAGACACATTTTATATCATTTATGACAGCGGGAGAGAGAGAGAGAGAGAATATTTGGGTTCTGCTGCCAAAAATCTAGCGCCCAGTTTTTCTCTTTGAACGCATCTTATTCTAATCGAAGGTGGGAAGAGTCAAAGCGGGTCAACTGGCCTACATCATTTCCGAAGCACCCAGGGTGGACGAGGAACAGATCCCTACGGTCGGACAGTGACAACTGACGGGGATACATGTATGCATAGATCTACCTAGCAAGCGAGAGAGAGAGAGAGAGAGAGAGGTGTTAATAACCGCATTAGGAGGAACACCCCTAGCCGACGAGGCCCCGACCGTCCCTTCCCTCTTTCCCAAACACGTCCGGTGGGCCTTCACTGGTCGGCCTCCTATACAGAAGGCAAGATTCCTTCTCCCAGCAGCGGGGTAATGTGAGTGGCCATTAACACGGCTGCGTTGGCCTCTCCGCCGCCGCCCATTGGCTGGCTTCCCCTCCTCTCTGGCCCTTCCGATCTCCTCCGCATATCTTTTGGAAAATGAGACAGTTTTCAGAATGAAAGCGTCCGTCTCTTTCGTACATCTTTCTGTGAAGTAGCCCCTTTTGAGAATTGCCCACAACCCTCTTCCTCTCTGGCAGCATCATTCTCCCTCCTCTGTTCTTCCGGAAAATATCGCACCTTAGAACCTTACTTAATACCCCTCTCGTCCTCAGTGCCGGCCTCGGTCCCCTGCACCGACCACTTGGGAAAATATGATATACTCTCCAAAGCTTTCGGGAATCCCCTCCTCCTCCCTTCGCTCCCGCGATTTCTTTTGTAAAATAGCATTGCATTACGAGGGAGGTTCTCAGGACGAATGTGGAAGGCAAATCATTCCAGAATTTCTGGTAGTCGTAGAATCGACCGCCCAGGAGGAGAAACAGAGGAATAGGGAGGAACAGCCACTGCCAGAAGAGATCCACAGCATTACTAATTCGATCAAAAATGGACGCGCGGATCGACCCGTTGGGATTCCTTCCAAACCAATCAAGATTGGATTGGGATCATATTAGATCCTGCCCACTGAGAATTGGGTGCTTGAAAATCAGATGAGATCAGATGACATGAGAGAGAGAGAGAGAGAGAGAGAGAGAGAGAGAGAGAGAGGGAGGGAGCATAGATCGGCCCGTATCTCCTGTTCTCTCTTTCGGGTGGTGGAGCGTTTGTAAAATAAGGGAAGACAGAGACAGAGAGCCTGGGGTGAAGATGGCCTAAATCCAATACGTTGCCGAGGACAGAGAGCGACGACGAGGAAGATATCCGCCCTGGCCGTCGCTCTCTTTCCCACTATGAGCACGCCAACTGGAGGAAGGAGGGGGAGAGACAGAGAGAGAGGGATTCTTAACAGGAGATGGCCACGGCCCAGGCCCATTAAGGGAATATTTGACGCCGCCGCCTAACCAGTTTCCCGCTTTTTCGGGGGACACGGTGGTGCGCGCATGATTCTGCTTGAGAGACCCCCTCGACACGTGTCCCGTCCTCCCTTACTAGGCCCCATTCTGAAAAAGAGCGGCCCACTAATCCCCCGCCCGCCTTCGTACCAGCTTCACGCACCGAGCTTCCCATGCTCCGCCGGAACCACGGCGTCAAAGCACTCCTCGGACAGAGAGAGATTGGCCGACAAGAGGCGCGGTTCTCATGTATCCGTTTAGTTTATCGTGCGCGAGAGGAGTAGCCTAGCGCGGGTGAGTCTGGATGAGGTAAAAAGACCCGAGTGGCTAAGCCGACCTGACTGGGCCCACATAGGGCCCCACGAGACCGTGGGCAAAGAAAGAAAGTAAAAGGGAGAAACAGGCGAGAGCAGCTGGAAACCTGAGGGCTCCCCATAGCCCGCCACGTATAGGCGTGCCCCCTTTCGACGTGGCGAGCACCGGAGGCCATGATCCCATAAATAGATACCCCACGTCCCCCAGCAAGCTTAACTTGTTCTCCTACGCCGCTACAGCCGCCGCCGCCGCCACCGATCTCGAGTTCTTCATGTGCAGGGAGGAGAGAATGCCGTCGATGAGTACGGAAGGGGAGACGGTTTTTGGAGGGACGACAGACGCGTCCGCAAGTCAGGCGGCGGCTGTGGCGGCGCCGCCGCTGACGCCGGCAGCAGCCTCCTCCTCCATCACTCTCAAGGTAGACGCCGCCCAGTCCGCTGCGTTGACTTTAATGAGAGAATAGCCTCAAATTTGCCGTTTCTTTTGTGGGCAGTTCGTGGATATTGACTACCGAATCAAGGTCAACCGGAAGCAGGGAGGAAATGGACTGCTGAGCCGGTGGGTCAGCCCGCCGGCGGCGGAGGAGAGGATCATCCTCAACGGCGTCTCCGGGATGGCCTCCCCGGGGGAGATCCTCGCCGTGCTAGGCCCCTCTGGCAGTGGCAAGTCGACCCTCCTCAACGTTCTCGGCGGCCGCCTGCAGGGAAAGCACGGCGGCGCGGTGGTGGCGAACGGGCGGCGCCCCGGCAGGGCGGTGCAGCGCCGCACGGGCTTCGTGCCCCAAGACGACGTGCTGTACCCGCACCTCACGGTGCGGGAGACGCTGGTCTTCTGCGCGCTGCTGCGCCTGCCCGCGGCGCTGCCGCGCTCGGAGAAGGTGCACGCAGCGGAGGAGGTGATGGCGGAGCTGGGGCTGAGCAAATGCGAGAACACCATCGTCGGAAACAGCTTCGTGAGGGGGGTTTCAGGGGGTGAGAGGAAGAGGGTGAGCATAGGGCACGAGATGCTGATCGACCCGAGTCTGCTGATACTGGACGAGCCCACGTCGGGGCTGGACTCGACGGCGGCGCACCGGGTGGTGGCGATGCTGGCGGGCCTGGCGCAGAAGGGGAAGACGGTGGTGGCGTCGGTGCACCAGCCGTCGAGCCGGGTTTACCAGATGTTCGATAAGGTGCTATTGCTGGCGGAGGGGCGGTGCCTGTACTTTGGCCACGGGAGGGACGCCATGGACTACTTCGCCTCCGTTGGATTCTCGCCGCGGTTCCCCGTCAACCCCGCCGACTTCATGCTGGACCTCTGCAGCGGTGAGTCCCCTTCCGCTGCCCCCACGTATTCCCTAGAGAATCATAGCGAGAGAGAGAGAGAGAGAGAGAGAGGAGTCTCCGGTGGCTGGTGCTTTATTGGGTTGACGTTGGAGAGGTCGTAGAGGCGGACACCTGGCAAGGGGAGAACCGTGTTCATGAGACCACCGCCAACCGCCGCCGCCCAATTGAAGGAGGCCCTTCGTGTGCCACAGCAACGGCTATGTTATCTTCCGTGCTTGGGAAGATAATACAACTCGGAGGCCCTAAGAATTATTATCTCTGAAGATGCCGCAAACCCAACACGTGGACTCCCCCAGGCCATTGGAGGAGCTCGCTTTAGACCACGCCTCCCCCACGCTGCCCGCTCAAAAAGGGTTCTAACTGTTGCAAAAATAGCCACTTTAGCTGTTCCCCCACCCACCCATCTGACCCTTCTCCTGAGAGAGAGAGAGAGAGAGAGAGAGAGAGAGAGAGAGAGAGCGAGAGAGAGAGGCTTCAGTAGTGGTGGATGATTCATGCTGTGAGACTGGTTTTTCAGGGATGGCGCAGGCGGAGGAGATGGACAGGTTCAGCGTGAAGCAAACCCTAATCGCGTCTCACGGGAGATTCATTGAACCGAAGGTGAAGGCGAGCGTGGAGTGTAGAACATCCGCAGAGGAGGAGACGTCGGTTGGTCCAGGAAGCAGGAGGAGGCTCCCCAGCGGGGAGGAAGACCAGCGGAACAATACCGGGTGGTTCACCCAGTTCGCCATCCTCCTTCAGAGGAGCCTCAAGGAGAGGCGCCACGAGGCCTTCAACTCCCTTCGGGTGATTCAGGTGGTGGCCGCCGCAGTGCTTTCTGGGGCGATGTGGTGGCGCTCCGACCCCCGTCATGTCCGCGACCGGCTGGGCCTCCTCTTCTTCATCACCATCTTCTGGGGTGTCTTCCCCTCCTTCAACGGCGTCTTCACCTTCCCGCAGGAGCGGGCCATCTTCCTCAAGGAACGCGCCTCCGGGATGTACACCCTCTCCTCCTATTTCATGGCGAGGATGGCCGGAGACCTCCCCATGGAGCTCGCCCTCCCCACCGTCTTCATATCCGTCACTTACTGGATGGGCAATCTCCGCGCAGAGATGGGTGCCTTCCTCCTCACCCTGGCGGCGCTTCTCGGCTATGTCCTGGTGGCGCAGGGCCTCGGCCTGGCCCTCGGCGCCGCCGTGATGGACGCCAAGCAGGCCTCCACCATCGTCACCGTCACTATGCTGGCCTTCCTCATCACCGGTGGCTTCTACGTTCAGAACATTCCCCCCTGCCTCTCGTGGCTCAAGTACACCTCCTTCAGCTACTACTGCTACAGAATCCTCGTCGCCATCCAGTACAGGACGAGGGAGCGCGGATACCTTCTCGGCCTCGAAGGGGAGATGCCCACCACGGTCAGTGTGGCCGTCCTGGTGGGTATGTTCCTAGGGTTTAGGCTCCTGGCTTATACTGCGCTGAGGAGGATGAAGGTGTGAGGACGCAGAAGATTAGGGTTCCGACCAAGGAAGGAGACGACGTACAGATTGGGCTCTTTGGACGGCAGAGATATGGTGGTGTAACTAAAAAGGCCCAAAAACGGGCCCATTCCCCCCCTACGAAGATGCGGGATTGTGTTCTCATATCCCGAAAATATTTCCCATTTTATAAACGTCCCATTTTATTTATCTTCTGACTATTGGGCCTGGCCCATTATCGGCCTACGCAGTGATGGGCCTCAAATCTTCCCCCAAGGATCATGGAATTATCCGTTAAGGATCCGATTGTGCATCCGGAAGGAATGGTCTTATTCATGAGATAGATATACAGCAACAATTCACGGGCTAGCTGGCCAGCTGGTCTCAGCGGGCTCGCCGGCGACTGAGGAGGGCGTAAGCCGCCGCCCCCCGGCCGGAGTGGGGCACGTAGACCGTTGAATCCGCCACCGAGCAGGACGTCTTGCAGGAGGCGTACAGACCCAGGAAGCCAAACCGGTCCGCCGCCGTCCTCTGTCGCCAGCCGGCGACCTTCGACACAGCGGCGGCGGCGGGATTCCAGTATGAACTCCGGTGCTCCGCCGCCTTCTCCGGTGGGTGGTGGCAGCGCTCGTCCTTGGAGCACTCCACCAGCGCCACCTCAAACGGGTCAACGGACGCCGGCCACCTGCCGGTCCTCTTCCGGCGCAGCGCCTCTGGGGGGTCGCCGGAGGGAGATCTGAGCGGCGGCGGCGGCGGCAGCCGCCGCTGGTGGTAGTGGTGGTGCTCCTTCGGGTGGAGTTGGCCGTGCCTGGGAACCCCCGGTTGCTCCTCCCAGGAGAAGGGGATCACGAGGTAGCTACGGAGCGGGGAGAGCGGCGCCGCTGAAGCAAGCCGTGGAGAAGCGGCGAGCTTCCCGGAGGACGGCGAGTCGCAGCAGGGCTCGAAGAGGAGCGGCCGCAGGATCTTCTCCGCCCCCGCGTCCCTGGCGGCGGCGGTGGCGCTGGTGGCGGTGGCGGCGTGCCAGCGAGAGGAAGAGCTCTTTCTCATGGCGTCGGTCGCGAGTGAGGGAGAGAGGGGGAAGATGGATAGGAAGAAGGTATTGTTATAATAGAGCAGTGGGGCTTCCTTCTTCTCCCCCACCACGCCCACCGTCCACCTTAATATCTACCTGAGTCCATTATATCCAGGCAGTAAATAAGCTTGCCCAATTCAGCAACGTTTGACTCAGATCCAATGTCACCGTTCTACCCTCGTCTAACCCATGTAAGAACCCCAAGAAGTTATTATTTTGGGCTGTTCTGTTAGTATGGGCCATTAAAAGCTGGCGGGGTAAAATCGTCAATGCTCACCTACCATCCTATTTCTAGTTACATCAAGGCAAAATCAGACTTCCCTTTCTAAAAAAAAAGCGGCTTGTCAGAGCGCACCCATTGACAATGTCTGCGAGATGGCGATCTGATTTTTATACGTACCCCCCTCTTCTCTGCTGATAATGAGTACATAAGTAATTTAAAATTGTTCATGTTATTGTGCGAGGAGGGCATTTGCATAATTGACCACGGGCGGCTCACTGGAGAGATTCCCATGGGCCCACCAAGCGGAACCGGACGCCTGGAGATTATTGGGCCCAGCCCATTTGAAGCGCCGGCCAAATCATGTTTAATAATCATTCCGGCAGATGGTGGCCGATAAATGGAGGAACGGTACACGGCTGACAAGGCCCGAATATTGCGCCCCACCGGAGCTCTCTCACTGTCGCCTTCCTGGGGACAGTCCGCGCCTCATTAATGTTTAGCAGTGGTGGGCCTCCCCTCTGGCGTATTTGTGTCGTGTTAATGGGCCGTGCCTTCCGTCTCAATGGTGTGCCTCAAAACATAACCCAGAAGAAAAGTCGTATGTGCTCTCTCTCTCTCTCTCTCTCTCTCTCTCTCTCTCTCTCTCTCTCTCTCTCTCTGTCTCTCTCTCTCCCTCATCTGTCTCTTCCGCCGTCCCATCTTTATCCCAAGGTCTCATTTGTCCGACATGACACAAAGAGAGAGACAGAGCGAGATTAATAATGGACGAGGGTAAATTAGTCTTCTGATAGTAAAATTTGGACGTTCTTGGTTGGGCTGACTTTTCGGCCGACACACTTTGGCTTCAAGATCTCCTCGGTTGACATTTATTTAGCTCACCTGTCTTGTAACCTCTTTTGGAGGTAATCTTTGGTCAATGCAGCTAGCAACACACTAGACCATGATTTCCTCATCTTCTTCTTCTTTTCCTTCTTCTAAGCTTTCTGTACACTATAGCTTAATGATTTGACCAAACAAAAATATCGATAGAGACTTTGCTGCTGCAGAATCCAATATCAGGTGGAATAGTTTTGAAAAAATTATTTCGTTGACTACAAAGGCTGTCCTAATGATGCCCTTTTATTACATGGGTGATACATGTGTTGACTCTATATCAGAGCACATAACTCAACACTTTGATGTTTTTCATGAAGTCTTCTCTTGTTTTATTCACTATGTATAGACCAACGTATTGCTATTTATGGTAATTTCTGCAAAGGTAAAGCAATAGTGTGAGCTGGTAGCATATTGACTATGGTAGGATATCGATTCCTTGGTTATGTCACAAGGTGAAACTATACCATCGTCTTGGTTGGAAAGATTTTATTTGTTGCATTTTGAAGAAGTCTCTTTATAATCTAACTTCCAAAAGAAGTTGACTGGTTTTGCTGGGTTTTGTTTAATGCAATTCATAAAACCATTGTAACACAAAGTCTAAGAGTTTTCACTAGAAAATGACTTTGCTTTCACAAGTTGGCTTGAATTGGATCACTTTGTTGTGTGCAATCTCATGGTGATGGCCCTACAATCAAGGTTGGTTGATAGTTAATAATTCTTGGAGTAATGGTACCATATGATGCTAATTGTTTGACTTTTATGAATGCTGAAGACATGGCCTCAGCTTGAATCCTCTAGTACTAGTGCACAAGTAGTTGTAATCATCATGTGACATGCCTCGTTACTAGAGAAAGGGTACTCCCAAGATCAACTTTTCCAAAATTAACTCACTTTGAAATGTATTGAAAACAAAAGAATATCTTTGAAAAATCTTTTAGCCTATGGAGTGCTTCATCTACGAAAAATTTACTTATTTTGAAGTAGATATTTTTTTAAATCATTAAAAATTTCTATTGACATGAGAAAAAAAAACCCTAGAATCCATACAACTTCAAGGTAGAATATATGACTCCTATATAGGAGAGAAGAGAGATGAGAGAGAGAGATAGATAGTGGGCCCTATTGGGCCGGGAGTCTGATACTACTATCGAACACTCTCCCTTAAGTTGAAGTATATAAGTCGAACATGTTTAACTTGGTACACGTGGTGTCATAGGAGATGCTGACTAGGTTCTTCATGAAGATGTCTACAAGCTAGTGAGATGATGTCACATGAGGTGTAGAAATAAGTCTAGACATAACTTTATCTCAAATGTAGTGACAATCAATCTTAATGTGCTTTGTACACTCATGAAAGTTAAGATTGCTAGCAATGAAGATGACGACTTGATTGTTGCAATGTATGGAAATTAGAGAGGGAGAAGTAATGTCAAGATCGTCGAGAAGTTATTGAAGTCATATAATTTTCTACGCTGTTTAAATTATAGCTTGATACTCGGATTCCATACTAGAGTAGGACACCACCCTTTATTTCTGAGACTACTAAGTGACTAAGTTACTGTCGATGTATGTGCAATAACCCATAGTAGACTTTCAGTCGTCTTTGTTACATGCATACGCGACATTAGAGTAGGCTGCAATGTGGAGATGGCCGTGTCGCCAATAGATAGACCCTTTCCCGAAGGATCACTTGATGTAGGTGAGGACTCATAAAGCTCTTTCTCAATGAACTTGTCGAGGCTCCTATATGAACTGATTCAAGATACTAACCATATACATGATGTCAAGACAAGTGACAACAAGATATATTAACTTGTTTAATAATCACCGATGTCGATTAACATCCTCGAGTAAGGGAGATGAAGTGTCTCATAACTATGGGCAAGCTTTCATGGGTGAAGTCTTCGGTTTGCACCCAAAGAGGCCTATCTCCTGAAGCATGTCGAGGACATATTTGTGCTGAGCGAGGGCGAGCTTTTCGTCTTAATATGTAAATTCAATCCTAAGAAAATATTGCGGAATCTCTAAGTTACGAATGTTGATGTGTTGCTATAAGTAAACTTTGATAGTAAAGATGCTGTCCCTATCACTTCCAATCACAAGAATGTTGTCGACTTAGACTACAAAGATGATAAAGCGACCTTCTGTCTTCTTTGTGAGCACAGTGGGGTCTACAATGTAAAAGACAAAGCCAAAGGTGGTGAGTAAACCACTAAACTTGATGAACCAAGTACGTAGACTTTACTTGAGCCTATAAATAGCACGTTACAAGAGACACCTTCGAATGGTCTCCTTGAGTAATATACCTTGGAGGTTGCTTCATAACGACCTGCTCAGTGAGATCATCGTAGAGAAAGATATTAGAAACATCTAACTAGTAGAGAGATTATGCCTAATTGATGATGACAGAAATGAGCACATGGACGGAGTAGAGGTGGACAATAAAGAGAAAACATCTCAGTGTAGTCAATCTCATATGCCTGCGTGAAGTTCCAAGCAACTAGATGAACTTTGTGATGAGTGATAGAGTTATCCAGGTGATACTTGATGGTAAACTTTCACTTGTACATCACAATGTTGGCATTAGTTAGGCACAAAACTAAATCCTAAGTCCCCTAAGCGACCAACACATCTACCTCTGAATCCATGGCTACTTTCCATGCAGGGACTTGTGCAACCTCAACATATGACCATGGAAGCAACTCAGAGGCCATGAAGAGGGCAAAGATTCAAAAGGAAGGAGAAATGTGGTCATAAGAGATAAATTAGGAGATGAAATGGTGGGTGTAAGTGTGTGTACTTTTACGGAGGACTGGGGAGATGAAGGTCATCAAGTTGAGCAGCGACTGAAGGTGCGGAGGGATCATAAGAGAGGAAGAGTAGAATACTGCATCTAGAGTAGGAGGAGCCATGGGAGACATAGGCCGAAGAGAGATGGGCATGGATAATGACCCTTAAGAGAGTGGATAGGAGTAAAGAGAAGAGGGAGGGTCCACAAGAACCACAAAGGGAAAGAACCCAGGTGGAGGAGACATAGTGGCCCGAGGAAGAGGAGTCAAAATAGGGGAGAAGAAAGGAGACTCTTTATAGAAAGTGACATTGACCGAGGTCACATAGTGATGGGTGTCGGGGAAGTAGACCCAATAGTCTTTTTGTGTGTGAGAGTACTTGACAAACACCCCTTTAATAGCATAAGGGGCGAGTTTAGAAAAAGAAGGAGAGGAATCGTGGACGAAGGTAGTGCTTCCAAAGATCCGAGGGGGAAGAGAAAAAAGAGGAGAATCAAGGATTAAGCGATGGAAAGGAATTACCTTATCAAGAAGAGTGGAAGGAAGTTGATTCTAGAGGTAAATGACAGTTATAAGGACGTCAACCTAGAGATAGTAGGGGACATTCATCTCAAGAAGAAGTGTGTGAGTGATGTCAAAGAATTGACAATATTTATGCTCAGTAACACCATTCTACTCTGAAGTGTGAGGACATAGGATTTGGTGGAAGATGCCATGATCATTGTAGAAGGTGTAGAGAGATGTTTAGATAAACTCAAGAACATTATTAGTACGAAGAATCTTAGATGTAGTGGTGTATTGGGTGATACCTTTGGTGATGAAGTGGGTAACCATGATGACGACCTCAGAGTAGTCATGGAGGAGGTAGACCCAACTCACACGAGTGTAGTCATCAACAAAAACGATATAATAGCAATGGCCAGAGATGGAGGAGACTGTGAGATCTAAGAAAGACCTTGAAGTTAAATGCCCACAATGCATAATGGTGGTTGTTGAAGATGTATGCCAGTCGAGTAAGTTGTGCTATGATGGAGTGGCAAGTCAAAAGAATCGTTGGAGAAGAGAGAACACCAACTAGAAGAAGCTT